TTTCTGATATCCCTGAAAGGTGGGTTATTGATCCTCGTAATGTAAAGCCAAGGGACAACACTTGTCGGGAAAACTTCCAGCTTGAGGAAAGACCAGAGGTGTGGATGGAAGAAGTAATTAAACTCGAGTCACTGTTTCGGTCCTGTGAGGGCAGCCAGCAAGTGGCTAACCTCCTGAATAAGATCAAGAAGGTCACTTCTGAATTCGAAGGCAAAACTGGGCACCCTTCGATTAACTTTCAAGCCCCAGAAAAAATTAAATATCCTGGCAGAAGAAAGGGTGGTGCACGTCCCAAATACCTTCCCAAAGACTTTAGTCGGGCAAACTGGAGGAAGATCAGTGTTTCGTCTGGTCATGTAAGATAAAAAAAAATAACATAACAAAGTACTAATATGTATCTTGAAATACTAGGCTGGCCTTAAGGCAATGGTTAGACTGAGAGCTAAAATGAGGGAGGGAAAGCCTGCAGCTACACAAAAAACAAAAAACAAAAAACAAAACAAAAACAAACAAGAGCCTCTCAACCCAGGTAAGATGTGTTCTTATTTTACAATGTAATTGAATCTATGAGAAAGGATTCCCATCTTATACTTTCATGTTTTTTTAGTCGATGCTACCAAAAACAAAATAAAACAAATAAAGCAAGAGCCTCTTGACCCTGGTAAGATGTGTTTTTATTTTACTTTAATTGAATTTATGTGGAAGGATGTCGTCTTACACGAATATGCTTTTTAGTCGATGCCACCAAAAATAAAACAACAAAAATAAAACAAGAGCCTCTCGACCCAGGTAATATGCTTTCTTATTTTACAGTGTAATTGAATCCATAAAGAGAACTATCGTCTTATACTTATATACTTTTTAGTCGATGCCCCCCAAAAAAATGGGTTCAAAAGACCCGCCACCGCCTTAGAAGATTACCAGTATGATAATCGCACCTCTGTTGGCAAGAGGGTCAAATTCCAGCCCGGTTTTCCTGTCTCTCATGAGATAATCGATGATGTCAAGGGTGGGTTTAGCCCTACTGCTGACGGATGGTGTGGTTTTCGGGTCCTTGCCCACTTGATCTACAAAAATCAAAATAAGTTTTCACTTGTAAAAAGGGATATGCTAGCCGCCCTGCCGAAATACAAAACATTGTACACAAATACCTTCGGTACTGACACAAGCCAACTAGAAAAAATCATTCAATATGTCTCTCAACTCGATTATAGCAACACCAGCAACACCAACACCAACACCAACACCAACACCAACACCAACTTCATCCCAGTATGTTCAGATGCCAGTATGTGGTTTAACACACCTGACTGTGCTCAACTAGCTGCGGACACATATATACGACCAGTCTGCGTCTACTCAGACAACCCCAACACCCCCTCAACAACCTTTCTCCCATTTGCCCTTCCCAACAACAAAACCAAACAACAACAACCTCTGATTTTTAATTATGTTAACAGTAATCACTGGACAACAGTTGACCTTTCCCGTAATATCTCTAGAAAATGGCCAACCGTTCCTGAATTATTTTTTTTTAGGTTGTGCCAGAAATAAAATTGATGATAACTTTGATACTTACTGGAATAAGTTCAAAGAATTTAACAAGCATGATTGCCGAAATGTCATGCTCTCTCTCCATTCTGTTCTAGATCAACCAATTGATCTTACTCCAAAATAATTTCTTTTCAATATTCTTTTTTATTTTATTACTCTTTTAATTATACTTTATTACTTATATTTTATTAGCTAGATCTTTTCTTATTTATTTACTCATTTACTTTTATATTTTATTAGCTAGACAATCTTTTTTAAATCTTTATAAATCTTATCAATTTGTTTCTTTGTGTCAACATAAGCTATCTATCACTTGTGGGTTAAATGACTCTCTGCTCTGTTTTTTTCTAGAGATCATTCGTGGGAAGTACTTTACCCTTCGAGTTACACTTATAACCAGCGAATTAAAAATCATAAATATCGGATGGTGTTACACAGACCGAGCCAAACTATCTTCGAATATGTTATATTATGCATTTGCATCTATTTATTTCATCAATTCAAGTCTTGGCTCTCTATAACTTTGGATCCAAGTAGTGTATAGCTATATGTATGTGTTCTAGAATTTTTAGTTGAATTGAAAGGGTCGATCATGAGAAAACTAACGTAATATCTCAAAAATTTGGTTTTTTTCAATAAAATAAAATATTGTATTTGCTTGTAGAATCACTTTTTTCTCATTTGTTTTCTATGAAACTTTTACTGGATTCATATGTTATCTGAATATATGTAATTAAAAACTTTTTTTGGTCTTATATGAATATTTTTCATTTTTTGTATTTTTGATAAAATATCTCATGTACATGTTGCAAGGAAATGATAGAAAGACTTTTTACAGAAGAAATAAAAATAAAAAATAAAAAATAAAAACATGAATTTTGTAAAAATATATTAGCTTTACTGCTATGCAAACTTTCTTAGGCATAAAAGGCTTCATTACCTTTATATCTATTACGAAAGTTTTTGAAAAAAATGCAAATTATATGGATTATAATCTTTTCCACTTAAATCACATAAAATGAAAATATATGATTTATGTCTCAAGTTAAATCGTGAAAAAATGACTCATCAGCAACAGCAGGTATATGATTTGTTGACGAAAACCAAATAGATCTTGTGTTTTTACAGAAATAGGTGTGGTCACAATTTTTATTTATTTATTTTATATTGTGCGTTTATTGCATGAGAACTACAATAAAAAAGACATTGCATTGAATATGAACTCTTTAAAATGTAAAGTAAAATTCTAGAAACCTCTATAATTATACTTATAGAAGCTTTACTTTCAATAAGTAAAATATTGCATCAACAGTTTTCTTGAACACAATTATTCTATCGCCACATTTAGGACACGACATTTTGCCTCTCGAGCACGACGTTTACAAATTGTATATTTTGTATATACTGCATAAAAAAAATAGAAATTTTAATATGGTTACTACTTAAGTACACCTAGAAATTCCGTTATATTAAATGAAGATGTACTTTATTCATGAATTAAATTATTTATATTTTGATAGATTGATTTTACTCATATAAACTACTTTGGGTGGTTAGGGACCAGATAAAATTGCTGGATGCCGGACAACAAGTCACTTTTTATGAGGCCGGTAAATGGTGAAAGGCGGAAATTCAATAAACGTAGTGCTCCAGAGAAACGTCGTGCCCGAGAGGAAAAGTGTCTGGCCCGAATAATTAGCGGGCAGATATATACCTTTAGACTACTTTGTCAATTAAGGATATTATATTATACTCTTGGCTCACTTGACTTTTACATTAAATATTAAGTAATATTATACTGTAAGATATGACTTTTACTAGTATGCGTTAAGATAATTAAATACAATTGTATACTCAAAGTTACAAACATTATTATGTCTAAATATAAAAATAAAAAACAAGGAACTCAAAAGCATAGAAATATTCAGCACCATATTCAGGGCAGAATCAAATTATGATAACTAAAAGAATGAGATATCATAAAAGGGTGTCTGATCTAGCAAAAGGATAATTGGATATTGTGATTGGCACTGCGTATATATGTGTGAATATGTGTAAAGAATAGATAAAGAGCCTGTATTATCAATATAGGAAAATTATATATACGACATTAGTTTGATCATATATAATATAAATGCGCGCGGTTAAACTAAGCAAAAGCATAAATTCAAATATAAAATAAAGAATAAAGAATTTTTGAATAATACGACGTGATTTCTAAAGAAAAGAATAATAAAAAAAAACATACGATTAGTATCAATGGAATTTGGAAAACTTGATAGAGATACCCCAGTAAAGGTTTACTTGTTTATATATGTGCTGATATCACTCGATCTACACTTCTTTAATCAAAAAAGCTATCTTTATCTCCAATTTGGATAAATGACTATATTTAGTACAAATGCTATGATATAATATTATGTGAAATACGCTTCCTTGAATGAAATGGTGTATACATATATTGCAAGATCAGTAGATATATATATTCGGGATTTATCTTTAATCTTTATCTTGGATAATAATCTAAATATATAGATATAAAGTGTGGCAACTCCTCGACTTGTACTCCATGAATCATACCGTGATTTACAGACGATATCATGGGACCAAGGGTTGGATGCTGAAATCGTTTCACCTGTTCAAAAAAATTGAATGATAAACTGTCTGTACATGCCTGTATCTGAGTATTTGACATTACCCTTAATATTCAAAACAAAATTGTGCAGCCATAATCTACAATCCCTGTTAATAAATACAAGTTGTCGATCTATAAGAATAACATACATTACCAAAAGCATTTTACTGGATGAAAGCTAGTAAATACTTCTTTTAATTAGCATGTTATAAGTTTGATTAAATTAGACTTTTCTCTTTTATCAGAACCAAGAACGGTTTTTTCTTGATCTTGATTCAAATCATCATTTTTCCGTCTAGAACATATCTAAAAGCTCCAACAGCATTGCCTTGTATCATAGCTCTGTCGTCAAACTCGTTGTGTTATCTACAGCATGTCAGAGTAGGTGGATTCAGTTCGCTACAGAATATCAACTCAAATTATTCTCTAAATATATATGACATTAAATTTATACATTTCTATCCTTCGCTGTAGCACAATTAAAGTCTTGCTTTACAACAATCTTACTGGGACGATGTTTCCTGATTTGGCACTGCCTTTTTTGCCGGACTAATTAATTGTGGCCATTCACCCGGGGTCTAACCTCTTTTCTGTTGTGTACTCATCTCGTAAGAACTCACTAGTCATTTGTATTAAAAAATGTTATTTTTCTCAGAGATAGCAATTAGAAACCATAATGTTAGTAAGCTCTTTCTAGAAATTACTTCAATATGAATCCTATCAATAACGAATTATGTTTTTTCTTTAATGTAAAAGACCATTTTTTATTCAACAACCTCTCCCTGTTTCACCAGTGAATGGTTACCTTGACATGGCAATGGCAATTGTAAATATGCAGGAATTTACACTTGTAGCTAGAAATAGTAAGCTGGCTACATCAAATAATTTATTACAGGTAGTATAAATCTGTAAGAAGGATATTGTATATGTAAGAGGATGCTTTTACACTTAGCCAAAGCTATTATCCTGTCTTGTATTAAAGTATCTATTATGATAAGTATGTCTCCTTGGGGCCAGATATGATTATTTGATTCCAGACAACAAATCTCAATTTGTGGTCTGGTAAAACCAAAACATCGTTTCCCCCAAGAAAAGGTGGCACCCCAGCAGGAAACCTTGTCCCCCTAATATTAGCGCTTTCGGCATTAGATGATGGGCTTCAGGCTGCAGACTCACGATGAACTCGCGCCTTTTCAAGAGAGTATCTTCATCTTTTCTCTTCTTCTTCAGCAAGCGTTGCTCTCCTGAGAGTTATTTCACCAGTAAAATGAATATTATTTGCACATAGAAATACTTATGTTGTCAATATCATCAAAGTATTCTAAAGTCTCTTTACGTAATTCTAATAGTGTGGCTGTGTTGTTATTATTAGTAGTATATATATATATATATAAACATACTCCTTGTAGTGGTCTTGGATAACAAGCTCTCTTAGCACCATCCACAGACTTGCAGCTTGTGCTGCCTCTTGTCTCGAATCTTTTTGACAATCCCGTCAACTGTTAGGCAGAGGAATGTCGAGTTTTTTAATAAGTTCAGTTGGTGCTTTCAACTGGTTGGGGCTCTTTTCAATGACAAACTCACTGGTATGGCCCAAGTAAGATGTTTGGCTGTATTTGGTCTTCTTTTTGGTAATAGATGCAATATATGAATTAAAGAGAAAAGATCAGTGACTAGAAGGGAAATACATATTATAATATCCTGCAAAATTGCTTCACAGAAGTTATAAGAGTGATGATAAATACTATAGTCTTTTTATAGCTTTATCACTATTGTGATAAGTTTGGTTTTATTTTATTGTCAATGTCATTGTCATTGTTATTATTATATAATCACTGCTCAAGGATACTTTGATATTGTATTTACAATTATTTACTTTTGCGGTCAAGTCTAACTGTAGGTCACAAAAATTATTTTGATACGAGCATTTTGTATAATCATAGTATACATATACAAGATTAGAAGGATTCCAAAAGATAGTCAGAGTTACAAGGAATGCTGTGTAGCTCTGGCGTAATATGAGCTAAGTGTCTGAAGCTGATCCAAAGATTGCCACATCATTAGCAAATAGTAGTGATAATGGGTGTTAATGAAACTACATTACAAAAGCCATGGACACCAGGAGGAGCAAGAATTGAATGTACATTAGATGAAAGAGATGGTGAAATTGTATGAAAATGTAACAAGTTGAAGTATGTATATATATATTGAATGGAGATAAGGGCTAAGGATTGAACTTTGAGGGATGTTTCCAGATGGTGTACATTATGATGTGAAATTGATATTCTTCAATATGGTATCATTTTATAAGTAATTTCAAGATTTGACATAAAAAATGAATAAATAAATATAATATTAGGTGGTGATAAAACAAAAAAAAATATGCTCCGTAGAGCGTTCCATCTCAGAAGTTTAGTGTCATCCTTGTGCAGGGGCCATGCTAATCTTCTCTGTATCGTTCCAATTTTAATATGTGACAGAGGTGCAAGCACTTGTCGACTAAAATAAATGTCCAAAAACCCTAGATATATGCATTTATTTCCCGCTTTACAAAAGTTGTGGGTTTTTAATATTTTCAGAAAATTTTTATGTATTATAAAAATTTTATACACTAAATAAAATCAAATAAGCTGTACTTTTTCCAACCGCTCTTTTTTGAGGGCTTTTTATATTATAAGAAGTATGCGTATGTTACTCTGGCTATTTATATATATATATTTTTACAAATACATCAATATATAATTTTTGTTTTACTTATAGTTACTAGTTTCTTAAATTTAATATATAACTATTACTGTTTAATATCCTTTATCTGTGATCTTATTTCACATTTTACTTATTATATGGAAATAACACAGTACTGTGTTGCTGGACCAAATTAATTTGACTCATATAAAGTATTGCTGATGGTTATGGATCAGATTGATTTGCTGACTGCTGAACCACATGTTGCTTTATATTGGTTTAATACATTGTAAAAAAGCGACGATCAAAGCAGATGTAGTACTCCAAAGGAATATTGTACCTCAATGATTAGGGAAAAAGTCAAAATTCTCGTCTATATTGTTTAATTTTTTTTTCCTTATCTACTTTATGCTTGATGGACAAATATTGGTTTTTACACTATTCAAAAATATGGTGTAGTAGGAAATGACTTTATTATCTAGGAGTTTAATTAATCAGAATGTTCTATTTCTCTTAATAAAAAGATATAGCTATGATATAAAAGATAAGATTCGGCTTTTATCATATTATTTTATCAAAGTTAACATTGTAGTTAGATATTTATAGCTCAAGTATCTAATCAATAATATCTCTTAACACTGCTTTCTATGAATGTAAAATCAATGGGTCTTGAGTAAAATAATTAGCTTAGGTAGTTTCAATTTAAAAATCTCTATAAATACTGCAATATTTTTATCAATAAAGAAACATTCAATTCTTTATATTCCCATATGCTCTTATTTATCCACAACGTCCTAGTTGGTGGTGATCTATTATCAAAACTTATACAAGTTAAAATAATAGAAAGATACACCCAGTCGAGACTTGACAGATATACAATGGTCGTTCTGATTGGCTGAATTAAATCAGCCAAAAATAAAAATAAAAAACAATCACAGAGTGATAATCAATTTATGTCGCCCAACGGGGGGCTCGAACCCCCAACCTTGGGATTAAAAGTCCCACGCTCTACCAATTGAGCTAGCCGGGCTTTGATGCTGATAAGGATACACAAAAATACAAGTGGCAAAATATTAATTTTACTCATTTGATTCTTATTTTTATTATAGTGTATTTTTCTTATAATCAGTGTTGTAAATGAGTATTGACTACTGCTGTAATTGAGAATAAGTCTGAAGGAAATAATATAAGGCCTCAGCTATTCCAGTCAAAGGTGTCTACCGACTACTTTATTATTTAACATACAGGTTTAGCATGCATGATAGTGATTATATTTCATATGATGATATCACCATAATATGAGATACATCAGTGAATTATTATAAGTATAATTATAACTCATAAACACATTTACTTTCGATGTTAATACTTCATTGGGACTACACACATTTATATAATTAATTATACATTAATTATCCCAAGATCACGTTGCTCTGATTAAGGCTCAGATAGGATCGATTACCTGACCCCAGTCATATAATTTTCCCGATGTTGTATCCAACATAATTGTAGATTCAAATAGAGCACACAGACAATAAGACAAAGACATATTGAATAAGCGACCAGTATCAATTATACATTATTTCTCACACTATCATTAAATAAAGAATATACCAATAACAAGGTCACACACCTTAGTTAACATCACTAATCACTCAAACAAGAGCATGGGTAATAACTTAACAATATATTATCTATGATATAAGAAAACAGACATCACATGATATACTCATAACATTATCCTAAATACACATGCAATGTCTATATAAACTCATATAGCAAATAGCAATAGAAGATCATTTCTCTTTTCATTAATAAACAAAGTCTCACCGTACTTCTTGTCTGTACTTTGTTTTTCTTTCTTTTTTTAAAAATATAACATCTGTATATCATCAGTGAAGTTACTAGATCAATGATTCTTCAGGAGTAACCAATAGATTTATACAAATAATTTGAAGCTAAAGATTTGAAACTAATAATAGTTTCTGGTAAAGTTTTTTCTCTTTTTTTTCTATAACAAACACGTAACTGATTTTTTTTTACAATTATGAACAATACAGACAATACAGTGATTTAGTTGCTTCAAGAAATACAAGCTGCACTTATTTCCCTAAAGAGTGGGCAAGAAGCATTGCTAGGACATCAAGAAGTATTAGAAAAAAAAACAAGATGCGATGCAACTTCAAATGACAAGTTTTTATAATGAATTTAAAGATTGGAAATTTTCAGATAGAACTATTATAACCTCTACCAGTGTAAGCAAATACTATAACAACTAAAGTCCTTTCAATTACTGTCAAACATAATAGACTCTTACTGGTATAATTCCAAGACCAGTGTTGTGATGGTTGAAGTTGAAGAAGTTTTTAAAAGGAAGAATTGAAGATTTTAGATGAGGAACGAAGATTCATGAGAACTTGTATAGGTTTTGTTTATTGAGAAAGATTTGGTATCAAAATTTGACAAGATTCCTATACTGAACTACCACGGCTATTTATATTATTTTGGATCGGGAAAATTATATGACTGGGGTCAGGTAATCGATCCTATCTGAGCCTTAATCAGAGCAACGTGATCTTGGGATAATTAATGTATAATTAATTATATAAATGTGTGTAGTCCCAATGAAGTATTAACATCGAAAGTAAATGTGTTTATGAGTTATAATTATACTTATAATAATTCACTGATGTATCTCATATTATGGTGATATTGTCATATGAAATATAATCACTATCATGCATGCTAAACCTGTGTGTTAAATAATAAAATAATCGGTAGACACCTTTGACTGGAATAGCTGAGGCCTTATATTATTTCCTTCAGACTTATTCTCAATTACAGCAGTAGTCAATACTCATTTACAACACCAAGGTCATATGTGATCAACTGGCAGCTCTTCCATCTGTTCAGTGTTGTGAATGAGTATTGATTACTGCTGAATCTGAGAGTAAGACTGAAGGATAAAATAATATCCTCAGCTATTTCAGTCAAACGGATCTCTCTTTATGATATTATCTAATACACAGATCATCATACACATAATTGATTATTTATTATTATCACCATGACATGGGATATACAAATACATATACATTATATATATGGCATCATTATATTTCATCTACATATTTCTTTTATTATACAAATACTTAATTGAGAGACTACAACTACAACTATCTAATATTATGAAACATTACCCGAGTATCTGGGTCGGAATACTAAAATATTACCAATAGCATAAATGCTCTTCTTTACCAAAACTCTTGGACTGATCTGACTGGAGAAGTATCATATCAATTGGTCTTTCCGGATCTTTCCAGAAGAACAATACTCCTGGAAGATGACTCATCGTAATAAAGATTACTTAAGCACACACTGAATTACAAATTAGAAAAACATATAAATATCAGTAGATAGTTCCGTGTAGAAAGACAATCGAATTTTATCATTCTTTACTTTTCTTTTGAAATAAACAACCTACACAAGTTCTCACGAATTCTTTTGTCTATATTATATTTTGCTTTATTTTCTCCCCACAACATTCAGAATCTTGAAACAAACTCTGTCTGGTCATTGCTTCCTCAAGAGGATAAAAACAGGCTGTGTATCAATCATTCCATCATACAGAGATAATGGAATCGATTTTACCAGATGCCACAGAAACTGGGCATCAATTGCAAGGGCTAGACAGCTCTGGAGAGGGCATAAGAAGCGAGAATACTCTGGTAAGTTCATATCTGGTAGGTACAATAAATTATGTAATTAATATGAAAATATGTAATAATCTGAAGGAATTTTAGCCAGTACGATTCATGAATAAAAGATTATTTCTATTATAATAACCAATAAAAACATTTTTAAATAATAATCTTCAATGAAATAAAGCTTTTTTACCCAATTAAAACTGTGAATGAATCAGAATATATATATGAGAACCAATTGAGAGAATGCTTTTGTTTAAATGACCAATACTATCAATGTGCATACTGCAATAAAGTTTATATTATCCAATTAAAAGTAGCAGTATAACGAAAGTATCTTATGAGTGACAATACAAAGATTCTTTTTTTCCATCTATACCAATAAGAAAGCTCTTTTTTATTTTATTTCTACCAATAGAACGAGAAGAATAATACATAAATTTAAATATCGGGATATGAATAAAACCTAACCCGTCAGTCAACGGAGATCTAATTATATTTCCAAAAATAGGGGTGGTCTTTTTGCTGGTTTTACCAAAACTGCCACCCAAAAGACCACCTAAAATACCACCTAAAAGACCACCAAAAAGACCACTTTTTTCCTGTAGTGAAAGAGACCAAATAATATTCTTTATATCTTTTACTATTAAAATACTTGTAATTCAAATACCTGTTGTGTAATGGTTGGTTTACACTGTATGAGTGTGTAGTGTACGTGTGCCTGGTATGTAACAGTTCCAGAGATTGTTAACTTGCCAGGTTCATTAGCAATAAAGAACTAGTGTTTGGTTGTGGAGTCTGTTCTTCACTCAATTGTAGTGTGTATAACACATACATAAAATTGATATTTAATCTACTTTATATATTATTGATTATATTAAAATATGTATAAGGCAGCTCTAATAAAAGTAGCTTCTTTATCGTAAATATAATGTATAAATACACAAAAAGAACACGAAAAGCTCAATAACAACAGATAACATATATACTTCTTTATAAATCTTCTGACATTCATCTGATATATTAACGTATATGTTAAGTATAAATTTCTAATAATATCCAAATAATTCATAAAAAAAGTGAACAAATAATTGCCATAACCATAGCCCAGTCTTAAGTCAATGAAATAATTCCAGCAGCAAAAAAATAAACGACTGCTAATTTTGACAGAAAGAGGTTCGACTCTATTAACAAGCTCTCTATTTCTTTGCACTGATTGTATTTTTAACCGACTTTTGCTATTTTAATTTTTGAAAGTATTTATACTTATAGTACAAACAGGGTAAAGTTATTTATATTACTCTGGCTGTAAAAGTACAGCTAATGTAAGTGAATCACTTTTATAACGCTTAGGAAATTCAGCAGATATCTTGTCAGAAGTATGAACGTTAGGCTACAGTTAATCAGTAGTTTTATGATATGCAATAATATAATCATATATTTATATGTTATTTTAAGCACTTTTGATAAGTAAAACCAAATGGCCCTCTTAGTACTTTTTTAAAATTATATACTAGAACAATATTATACAACTTTTTGAATAAAGAATATGTTAAGAAGCCCACTGTATATCAATTTAATAGTGTACACACGTTTATTGACTGTATTCAAAGAAAGTTTCGAAATTTTGTTGATTGTTGTATCCAATACAACTAAGAATTTTTTAAAAAATTACTCCTTATTATCAAAATCAGAAACATATTGCATTGTATGTGAATCAATATTTCTCCTTTGATATAACACCGATGTTACAGCCGCTCTTGGAATTATATTAGAAATTGCAGTCAAGAAATATACATTAATAATTATAATCTTGTCAAAAAAGTCTTGAAAGAGAAAGTACTCAAATTGTTATAATAATGGGAAAGGAACAGTAAGGCTTTCTTAAATATACTCTTACATCTCATTTTTTATATTATTATTATTGTATGTGTACTAACAGAAGTGTTATGTATTATAGATAATTATATAAATAAGTAGACTATCTTATTGTATGTTTTCCGTATACACACATACACTCTTCAAAGGGGTGAGAGTTGAGATTATACCGTTGCATTACCCTGTTTTCTTTTCTTTTCTTAAAAAATCACATCTTTAGATCTCAAAAAAGTTTTAATATCAAATAATATCAAGTATGATGCTAACACGTAGGTTGATCAAAAAGTTTCTGTTGGAGAATAATAAGAACTTTTTGCCATTTTTAGATTAGAGATACTTACACAAAAACTCGGAATAGAATCGAGAGTTTATACCGTGAGAGTAAGATAGATATCTTATAAGACATACATACCCTAACTTTCTACTATAATATTGTCTTCAAGTAATTGCCATAAGTTCAGTCAATATTAGTCTAGTGATATATCTAAAGATACTTTTTATGCGATAAGCCCAAGCTTAAATGCCTCATTATCTTTGACGGCTTTTTTTTAAAGAAAGAGTTTGCCAAAAAAGAAACTATAGCGCACACAATATAATAGACTATCTCTTGTTCTTTTTTAAAAGAGAAGTATCAAGATCAAAATATAATGTCCAAGATCTTTAAAGTAAAACCTGGAAGCTCTATAATTTGTACTCGGGAATTCATTGAATATATATTTTGAATTTTAATTTCACATGCAATAATTTAATTAGTGCTTAATACCCGCTTAAAAATAATAATCAATCACATCTAACCCTTCTAAATTTAATTGGTAACCCCTAATGAAAGTACTTCAAAAAAAACGCACACATACTAACAAACAAAATATAGATATGTAAATAGATAAAGCCAGGTAGATATTGATTGACAAGCCTAGGCTTATCTTATATTACTAAATCCATTATTAAAATAAAGATATAGATATGAAATGCAAAAACATGAAACAAGAAACAGAATATACATTTGTACACCTCCACTATACTATTTCCTGACTTTTTTTAATATAAGAAAATTAAGGGACCCATATTCTTCTTCTTCATATTAGAAAGCCTTCTTCTTCTCGTCAATTGAGTAGCCTCCGGGACCAGTGCTGACCAAGAGCAAGAAACCACCAACAGTCGACAAAGTCTGGAAGAAGTCATACTTCAAGAAATCACGCTTGAAATAGCTGTGCTGTACAGACCAAAAGTTGTTGATGACGACATTAAGAATTGACAAGAACAAGACAAGGAACATTGCAGACCACTTGGCCTTGAATCCAACAGCCACCATGACACATGCTATCAAACCAAACACCGAGACTAGAACGCGGGTAAGTGACCAGTCACCATGGAATGCCGAGCCGATGAAGAGGAAGATCAAGAGAATACGACCAGCCAACTGAAGGTAGGTACGGCGGTTGTTCTCCGATATTTGAGGGAGAGCAGCGAACATCTGCTTGCGCTTAGACAAAGAGTCTGATAAAACCATGAGAAGGCCACCTAAGACCGAGAGGTTACGCAAGAAAAATGAGAGGTTAAAAATCAAGCCATAGCCGAATGCTTGAGCCACTACTACGCCAATCAAGCCGTAGATTGCGTAATCTTGATGCTTCTTTGCAATCACTAGACCAGAACCTGCCAGCATGACCTGTATAGTAGAATGAATGAAAATCAGAGTTCTCAGAGTTTAGGATGGTCTGTCACTTACAATGATATTAAGAGCAAGGAACAAGTGGCTGATGCCACTGGGAAAGCCTCGAGACTCTTCCATAAATGAAACCTGCTCAGACCATTGCATAAAAATACGAAGAGTGTCTTCGAGGAAAGTGGCAACGATGAGGAAGCGGGCAATGACAGGGATATATGGTTTGAGAGGCTGTCCAATTCGGTCAACAATATCTTCGGCCTTTGAGCTGAATGCTTCCAATTGCTGCTTGAAATCTGACATTGTGAAAAAGTTGAGAAGAAAAAGGCAGAGATAATTGAAGGATGGCCCATATTTTGTTGTTTTGCGATGCAGGCGCGGGTTCAATAGCACCCAATCAACGTATTCCACACAGGACAATCTTTTGCTTTTTAAGCAGACAAGAAAGTTGTGTGTCCGAAAATTAAACCCCCCCACTTTTGTTTTCCATTTATTTTATGACTGTATATATATATATATATGTGTGTGTATGTGTATGTGCGTATGTGTATGAGTGGCTCAAATAGTCCACTTACTGCTATTTAACATATTTGCTTAAACCAGTTTGATTAAATTATATATTATATTTAGAAAAAGATAAAAGAAAGGAAGAGGGGATCTTCTTGATATCGAAAACTTGAAAGCTAAAGTCTTTGGCATTGGCATTAACATTGCAGCCTTTATATGATGTCATTAGAGGCGCCGCAACAAAAGACCATGTAGGACGCCTTTTATATTTATATATAAACCCCTTTAAAAGATGTTTAGCCTTTCTAAAGTGGCTCATGCAAGACCCAGAAGAAATAAAGAAACGCACAAATGAAGGGGTCTGAGCGGGGGTGAGGCTTCTCATTACCTGATTTTTCAAAAATATCAAACTCCCTTTTTTTGTTTATTTATTATTTATTAGTTCAAGTAACACATTTGTTCCACTGTGTGCTATACCACAAAGGTAACATCTTATGTCCACAACCCCGGACTCTAGACCACAGTAAGAACCTGCCCTCCTGTCCAGGACTGCCCACCGGCCAATTTCACCCATTCTGCAACAGACCCTGCCTCCACACAGATCATATTGGGGTATTCATCATCTCCAAAATCAGCAAGTGCCTGTGCCTTTTCAACCCAAGGGTTCCAGACGACTGAAGGATATATTTTAGTTTATATGAATCACAAACCAGAATTATGTTCATTTTCTTACCTGTATCTCTAAGATTGGACTTTGTGATATCAATAACTGAACCGTTACCAATGTTGACACTCAAGTGGTCAGGGACATTGCAATAAACACGGTCGACCTCTGATCCAATTGTAACAAGGTCATTGCTCTCAAGGAATTTTTCGCCACCCTTGACCTTGTCCAAATAATGACACGATTCAAGTCCTTTGACTGAAACCTTTTCCACATCCTATAAGAAAATAAAATCAGAGGAAATCAGACACAAGACAAAGAGGGGGAAGGTAGAATATCTTACAGGAACAAGTAAATATGTGTGTAGCAATGTATTGAATTCAAATGTATCAATATCCTCGTTCTTCACGACTAGTGTTGTCTTGAGCGATTTTTCTGAAAGAGCGACTGTGTAGGAGAGACGGAAGGAGAACGGCCAGCTGTTTCTCTGCTGTTGAGTTAACTGTGTGTCCTTTAAAGCTAAATAATAATATCTTAGTATCAGATACCGACCTTTCCTCTTTCTTTTTAACATATATTCATACTTACCAAACCGAACAACAACCTCGTCATTATCTGTGATAAGGCCAACATATTCCCATATGTTATTACGGGCAAATCCTAGAGAAAACAAGTGAAATTGAGTTCATGAAATCATAAGGAAAAAAGTCATTTTTCCTACTATTGACGTTGATTGAGATTTACCATGCTGAGGAAGCTTGACCTTTTCACTTGTTCCAAACACAGGGAATACAATTGGAATACCACCGCGAATTGCCTTTGAACCATCACGAATAGCCTTTTTACTGTATCAGTAGATACACACGAAAAAAAAGGGGGGCAACAAAAGTTAATTTGAGTTTATTGACCTATTTATGCCCCCCCCCCCCCGTACCCATCCAATGCTTCGTTTTCTCTTTCTCTATATTTACCTCACAAAGATACGCTCTTCTCCTTCGGCTACCCAACTTGTCACAGTGGCACCTTGAGAACAGATGACACGTTATATTTTTCAAAGACAAAAGATTTGTAAAGCTAAATATTATACCATATAACGCTACGTTAGCTGTCGCGCCTGAGGGGTGTGTCAGTACAACACTCTTGTTTATTTCCTGAGCGGGCATTTCTTCTTTTTGTTGGTGCTGTATAAAGTATTAAAAAACGGAAAGAGAGGGGAAAAAGAAAGATGAATTAGTGGCATCAATCCGTGTAACTTTGTATGTGACGATCATGTTTTACAGTATGTACACAATAAACATTGTCCGGCCCGGAATCCAGTAGTTCGCCTTGAAACAGGGCACGTTTCAATATGTAGGACTGTTAATCGGTTTCTGGTACTGTCAGCAATGCATCACCATTAGATATTTGGTAACACTCGAGCTTTAAAAGGGCCTGTAAGCAGGGTGTGCAGAAAGAAAGGACTGATTGTTATAGATATATATCACAAATATCTTACATAACTAGGCACCGAACACATTAATACCTTATTAGTAATCCAATACCGCGGCTATAATTTAGGTGTATTACTAATATTGATATCAAGTAAAAACTACTCGGGTTTTCTTTATTACCAAAACCATGTAAAGGGTATATATATAAGGCCCTTTAGTCTAGCATCTGTAAGTAATTTAGTATATACATATTATTGATGCATTATATAAACCAGGTACAGCTGGAGACCGCTGCTATCATTTCATCTTTACTTGTAGACGTGTCAAACATTCAGGTTGTTCAATTTAGCCATTTAAGGCAAATAAGATATTTTAGTATGATCCATATACTGCAATTAGATACTATATTAAATAAGCAAGAGTTGTGAAATAAGCACCGAAGAAGAGTATATACATATGGTATAAAGACTAGTAATTAAGAATTTTACAGAGTACTCAGTGTAATTGATGGACAATTTAGGTGTCTTTATTACTTTGTATAAACCAGAAAGACTCTAGATTATAGTATTTTTGGCGTTGTTGGTACTTAGCACCACACGTTATTACTAGTATTAGATTCCTTTGCTCATATATATATATATGTGTGTGTGTGTGATTGGATATACTGAATAAACATGTATCCCTGAAGTATATGTATGCACAAGCAACTATTCTTCTTAAAGTAAAGTTAAAGAATAATCATATGAAGGAACAACACGGCTTGATAAAGTTTGATAAGAAAAAGATACATAGATTGATTGTCTGCGTTGGTAGAAATAATATATTATACGCCGAGCAGTTTATTATTTAAAGCAAGCTTAATTTATACTTTTTGTTCAGCTTAGTATCTGTCTACAGAGCACATAAACTCCATAGCTTTGCTTGGTAATAAAGGTAAACAGCCCGCTTTCTCTTCCGGGATCGGATTTAATTAAAGCCCTTTTGATTTATAATATAGTTTTTTGGAAGCAAAAACAAAACAATCTTTGTATGTGGTCATCTATCTAATCGAGTTCTTCATCGCCTACAGGTGCTATTTTGTTTTTCAAATTCTTCTCTTCATTTGGACTCAATTCTCCAGGAGGATGGTTACGCTGGATATCCAATTGAGTCTCACCCGACTCTGTCTGATGGACAGTCACCTTTGCCTTTTCGCCAGTACGCACACCACCATCAATAAGAAGATGGGCAAGTGGATTAAGGAGGGACTTTTGAATCAGACGGTTCAAAGGACGAGCACCATACGCAGGATCGTAGCCGTGCTCACCAAGCCAGTCACGCGCTGCCATATCCACATCTAACTTGATATTCCGGTCCTTGGTACGTTCCTCTACTTCCTTCAGTCTGACATCTACAATGTCACGAAGAGCCGGTTTGGTGAGTCGGTTAAAGATAACCTTTGTTTAAATATATATATATATATACATATATACATACATACATACATACATACATACAAGAATGTTAGCTTTCTTATAGAAAAATGCCTACATCTAATCATATTTACCATCTCATCGATACGGTTAATAAATTCAGGAGCAAAATTGTGACGCACAGCATCCATAACACTACTTCTCGCTCTTGTGCTGACAGTGGTGTCACTCGATGCATCGGATACTAATGCTTCAGCACCCAAATTGGATGTCATAATAATGATCGTATTCTTGAAATCAATCTTTTGTCCCTTGCCTATATATAAATCTTAGTAACATTACACAGACATAGATACAAGTCGCAACTATACGTACTATCGGTGAGAATACCATCATCCAAGACTTGGAGAAGAATGTTCGAGACTGGAGAGGCATGTATTAGTGTTAATTCAATTAATGGCACTAACACTTGGAATATTACCATCTCTGTGAGCCTTCTCCATTTCATCAAGAAGTACAACTGCATAAGGGCGTCTTCTCACGGCTTCGGTAAGTTCACCACCTTCCTCATGACCAACATAACCTGGAGGAGATCCAATCAAACGGCTGACCGAGAATTTCTCCATGTATTCTGACATGTCGATTCGCACAATAGCATTTTCAGTATCAAACAAGAAATCAGCAATGGTTTTGCAGAGCTCGGTTTTTCCGACGCCAGTTGGACCTAGAAACATAAACGATGCAATTGGTCTAGAAGGGTTCTGGAGACCTGCTCTACTGAGTCGTACAGCATCAGATACAGCAGATATAGCTTCAGTCTGGCCAACAACGCGCTCCTTCAACACATCCTCCATGTGCAAAAGCTTTTCTCTCTCGCCTTTCATCAAGTTACGCACAGGAATACCCGTCATACGGGCAACAACACGAGCAATATCATCAGCTGTAACTCTCTCGTGAATAAATGCGTCTGGATTATCTTCATCGAGGTTTTCCTTTGGAAGTTTCTTCTCCAGAGTAGGAATGGTCCCGTAACGCAGCTCAGACGCTTTCTGGAAGTTTCCAGATCTTTGGGCCAAGTCCAGCTCAACACGAGCTTTCTCAAGATCTTCTTTGATTTTTTGAATTCCTTCTAGTTTTTGGCGCTCTTCGTTCCAGATAGCCGACAATCTCTGACTTTCTTTTTGTTTTTCTTCAAGTTCAGATTGAAGCTTATTTCTTCGCTCTACGGATGCTGCATCAGACTCTTTTCGGAGAGATTCGAGTTCAATCTGAGTAGTCATTATCTGACGATCAAGGTTCTCAAGGACCTCGGGTTTGCTCTCTTGCTGAAGCCTTAATTTGGAACATGCTTCATCTACAAGATCAATGGCTTTATCAGGCAAGAATCTTTCTGTAATATAGCGGTGGGAGTTGATGGCTGCAGACACCAGTGCCGAGTCAGCAATTCTCACACCATGATGAATCTCATAACGCTCCTTGAGGCCTCTCAAAATTGAAATTGTATCTTGAACTGTCGGTTCCTCAACAAGAACCTGCTGAAAACGTCTTGCTAATGCTGGATCCTTCATGATATACTTTCTGTACTCATCAATGGTAGTAGCACCAACACATCGCAGCTGTCCTCTAGCAAGTGCTGGCTTAAGCAGGTTACCGGCATCCATTGTACCCTCTGACTTTCCAAGTCCAAGCAAGTTGTGGATTTCATCAATAAAAAGAATGATCTTTCCGTTTGCTTCTGTAACTTCTTTAAGAACAGCCTTGAGACGATCTTCAAATTCTCCGCTGTTTTTTTAAAACATTAACAATCAATATCATCTCTGCAAACGGGAGTTTAGCTTTTCTTACCGATACTTTGCACCAGCTACAAGACTCTACACACAACCATTTTTTTATGGAACATAAATACACATACATACACGTGATATAGCATCAATCCACACTTACACCAAGATCAAGTGTAATAACACGTCTTCCCTGGATAGATTCGGGGACTTCATTTGCCACGATACGCTGGGCAAGGCCCTGACATAAAACACGATGAGTTAGGAGAATAATCCCAGTACTATCTAAGGAAACTCACCTCTGCAATGGCAGTTTTACCCACACTATTAAGAAGCTTAATAAATGATCTTTGTTGTATTTTTAATTTTAGCTTACCCTGCTTCTCCGATCAACACTGGGTTGTTCTTTGTTCGTCGTGCCAATCTAATGTTCACATAAATATACAGCTCCATAATCATATATTACTGTGTTCATCTTACACTATAGACAGAATGAGTTAATTCTCGGTGCCTCTTTGCCTGAATGGGCAAATAAAAACTTTATTACCTTCAAGAGTTCGTCTGATTTCTTCATCTCTGCCAATGACAGGGTCTAAACATAAATCAAGACATGATTACTTATTAGTTTTACTCAGACAAATGCCGATATAAGCATTCGATAAAGCCCGCTACAGAATTATCCAGAATATCTTGATCTTACCCAGCTTGCCCGTTTCCGCCAAAGCAGTTAGATCGAGTCCCTGGTTAAGATATATATATACATATTGTTAGAAATGGTCGAAATATATATTACATATATGCTATATGTACACACATAGAGTTGCAAAGCCGATTGCTGCTCTTGTTCTTGGGCTGGGTTCATACGCATTCCTCCAGGCGTTCCTCCTATGTATGATTCAGTTAAGAAATTTATTCCGAAAGTCAACAATCTCGAGTGCTTTAGAGATAAGCTAATGATACTACAATATAACATATTCTTTATTTTACATACCAGCATAGAATCTTTTAGCAAAGCTAAAAAAGTCAGTGTCGGGAAATTGCCGCAAGCCTGTCGATACACCTACACGGCTAACATTTGCATATACACGATTTCTAGTTACGCTTGATGATGCTGTTGTTGCTCGGCGAATAGAAGTCAAAGGTACTCGCCGAAAAGTAGTTGGGCGAGAGACCGTTTGTCGGGAAATTCTTAACATTTTTTTTTCGAAAGAAGGACAAGAGAAGTTCATGAGGATCTTTCAGGCTTCTTTATATGAAAAAAGGGAGAATACATGCCAGTCACAACGCAGTAACACTTAATTAAATATGACTCTAAAGACTTTTAGTTGTCTTGCTTAACATTATTATAGGTATATATAATTTGAAAAATGTAAGTCAAGACCATACACTTAAATTTTAGCTTCGTTCGTGTACATGCGTGTATGTTAATTTTTTATATTACTACTATACTTGTCTACCAAGGTTAAATGTTGATGCATCAAAACACTGACTTATTGTTGTACAAGCCAACACACCATTCTCTTTGTCGTTCGTTATGTTTCTGCTAATACATGGATATTAAGCGGTTAAAGGTATATATAATAAAAAATATTTTTCTCTTTTATTTAATACTATTTATCATTACTATAACCCGATCACTCATTAGTATTACTATGATATATGAATCGATAAGAGTTTCTTGTACAGCAACTAGAATAAACAAAGTTAAGGACATTCCTAACTACAAAATCAGAGCATTATTTCCTTTTTTGTCTTTCTGCCGGCCTTTATTTTAACGCAGTATATTATGTGGTTTATATTTACATATTAACCCTTTACAATACATATACTAAATTGATCCTTTCAAATGCAATATGTTTGTACAGCTTCTACTGGCTTCTTTGGTAAAGGAAAAGTTTAACCCCGGGAAGTTTCACCAATTTCCGATTAGTGGAAATTCGTTGTTTGCGATGATTTAATTACCATCAGATAATGTCCAATATAAAAGAAAACTTTTTGAGTGCTTTTAATACTTTTTGAGTGAAATACTCTTGAGTATAATACCCTTTATTAAAGTACCTATGTGTAATACAGGCTTCAGTAATTTGGACAAGATAGCTAAAATTATTCAGATTGATTATATTATCTTTTTTGTCGCTTTTTTTCTTATTATATCGCACAATTATTTTTGGTGAAAAAACAACAACAACAAAACGGAAGAAAATGGGAAAAATGTTGCTTGCAAATCTTGGTCAAATATATATATAATAATAATATATCTAAGACCTCCGAGCCTAAGATGTAAATAAGAATCAGAGTTCATTAATAGTAAAAGCGTAGACTTACTTGGTAAAGGCCGGTGTAGTACCCACTGTAATACCAAGCCATCATCAAATTTGAGAGCATCTCATCATCTAAAGTACAATATTAATTAAATACATATCTTGATTAAGTATAAACAGAATCTTGCCTTGACTTGATCCATTCGATCTCTGTGGCATTGGTGGCATTGGTGGCATTGTAGGCATGGTGTGAGCTGGGTGTGTAATATTTTCGGGTGCATGATAGGAGTGACTCGAATAATATGGCATAGAAGGATGCGCATGTGCTTGATGAGGAAGATGATTATAATATGACTGTCCTTGATCTTGATATCCTTCTTTTTCTTCTTTCTCAACTTCGTCCTCTTGTTCTTCTTGTTCCCCCTCCCCTTCCCCCTCTTCTTCTTCTTCTTCATATTCTTCTTCCTCTTCTTCGTAGCACTCTTCATTTAAATCATGTTGTTCTTGCTTTTCTTCCGCGCCCTTCTTATCATCAGAGATATATAAAGATTCTTGTTCACGCCCTTCATTTAATCCTTGGTTATCATTTGGAAGATTTATGATCTCTACTGACGCGGTGATTCTTGTTCTTTTAGCTTCAGTTTTCTGGAACAGAGAAAAAAATAAAAGATGAAGTTTAGGGGATCTTTTACTCTCGTTTCATGCAAATTTTATTTTAATACTTGTAGTTTTTTTTACCTTGGCTAATATATCTGCAGGTACTTGACGTTTTTTACTTTTATATATACATGTATATTTTACATTAGTTCACTGGCTTTTGTAAAGACTGAGATTTATTATATTACGGATTCGAACGAGGAATTTCTGAAGGATCAGGACATAATTCCCCTAACTTTTTGACGTTGTCTTTACTATGATGCTGCTATTTCATCAAATGTATAATCTTAGTATACTAATGTTGGTAATGGTGACTATTTTAATTAATCTTGCCTTGTAACCTGATAATGCTGTGTCCCAATACTTGATCAAATCAATGTCATTCCAGAGATCTCCCTAGATCTTGAGTGAGTTAACATTGTTGGCTGATTATCTAAAAACAAACCTCTTCTGATGAACCTGTACGCAAATCCCCTGATTGTGAATCCATTCTAATTATGTCTATAAAATCATCACGTCTCTCATTGATTATTTTATTTTATTTCGTGTGACGAGTAAAAATCCAAAAAAAGCCTGAAGATATTCATACAAGCTGTACTGCTAACAGTACTTGGAGAAATATATCCAAAAAAAAGGCTTGTACGTTTTCAAATTTGAACATCGACTATGATTTATTAAATTGTGATTTTTATAAGGCTAATATTATCTTTGGTATTACATGACACGTTAAATAGACGGAAGGTATCTTTTTTCATTGGTATTAAGAGGCCAGCTGTGCCTGTAATTTATCAATTTCGACACGCAATTCATCAAGGCTGTTCTTCAATGTTTTAACATCATCAATCCTTCGTTCCTTTTGCGCATCTCTAATAAATCCTTCAACAAGCCCGTATTGCTCTTTGTAGGCTTGAATCTGCATTCTAATATCTTGTTTCCATGTAGCAGTTGGATCTGGCGAGCCATTTAAAGACTGATTAGATGTATTCTGATTTTTTTTCTCGGGTTTGAGTAGTCGCGGAAGCATTTGAAGAGGCAACATATTACGCTGTAGATAGAGGTTAGCCGCCGTACATATGTTGGTTTGAAGTCTTTTCATGGGAGCAGTGGGAGCAGGGAGAGATCTAATGCTCTTTGAGAGAGTATCATACAAGGCAAAATTATCCAAGAGAGATTTGCGAATCTGAGCTGCTACTTGGTAACTTTCGTGGGTCTGTCGCGACTTTTGAGAGGTTTTTTCTTTTCTGTCAAGATTTGAACGTATTAATAAATGAGTACTTTTGAGTAGAATATAAATCTTACTCGAGCATGATAATTGTATCGTGAAATTTAGGTAGCTGCTTCTCAATCTTTTCTCGAGTAAGTGAAAGTTGGTGGTAAAGGGGAAAAATCGGTAAAGGCCGAAGGGACTCTTCATGCTTTGTTTTGCGCCTAGTTTTTTTTACAGATACAAATCAATAATATTAAATAAATATAGCGTTTCTTAAAATACTATTAACAATATATCTCACCGAAAAACGGCTCTTTGACATTTGCAACAAGCACGGGTGTCGCCAACAGGCTCTTCATCAAATGTATCTATTGTATTGTAAAAAAAACTTTAGAGTCAACATAGTCATCGCTATTATTTACTCACCAGAAGACATATTTAAGAAGAGAGGTATCATTTTGGAGCATCGAACATTTCCGCATACAACATCTCCACACAGGCGACAATGGTGCTTGCGATTTGTTAGAGTAAATGATTGACTATAATCAATGTAAATACAAAATATATGTAATATATTAACTTTTTACATTATACTTACAGACACAAAGGACATTTTGTAACAGTACGATCATCTTGCCATTTCGCCACGGTCTGTTCACCATCTTGCCATAATTTCCATTGTTAGATACGATTTACATTCTTATTTTCTAATGCAGTGCAATTATCTATTAGTTGACTCTCACCTCGATATTTTAGCTTCATGCTTAGAATACTGTTGCCACTAGACACTAAAGGCGAATTTGGGGCAATCATGCTGCTGAAACTGTCTTTAGAAGAAGAGGACTCGGATCTCTCTAAAGTAATACTTCTTAAAGATGAAGCAGGACTTGTAAGTAAACTGGTAGGACGCTCATGGCCTTTAACACCAGTATCTGAATTATAGTGAATTCTAGCAAGCTTCTCCAATTGATTAGTTGGTGTTTATTCTTGGTCCACCTGTATACAGTCTACCTTTTCTAGTCGCTTTTCTAGACGATTACTGTCCAGATAAACACGATCGATCGTTTTGGCTCTCTGTTCCAGGAACATCTTTGATAGATTACGTGTGGCTCCCTGATTCTCCATATACCTTTCCCTTCCAATATAGCACCCCACACACACTTTACACCACACGCCGTTTTCTGGATCATGACAGGCTTGTCGGTTGAGCTTGATCTCATACTGAGTATGAGTTTCACAAAATAAGCGGCCACATCTGATATAAAGAAGAAGTACAATAAGTTTTTCGGATACGTATAAACCTGTCCATGTTAATTATTCATTCCAACCCAGCATACTTTCTGCAGTGTTGCTTTCCCGCTCCATTTCTGCCTAGTGTTTTACCACATCCGGGCAGACTGCACATATCATTATTTGATTCTCGTTGCCAGTGTTCTCTGGTAATAAACTCTGTACCCTGTCGTTCATTATCCGATGCAAAAAATACAGGATTATTGTTTCCGAGACTAAAATTGTTAAAGCTGCTCATTAGTGCAGGATCCACCAGCTGCCGAAGAGACCGTTCGACTGCATTTGTATTTGGGGATGAGCCGAGGTATCTGCTGTTTGGTCCTACACTGAGTGTATTTTGGACCTTTCTTTGTGCATTTCCAAACCACGATAAAAAAGCTCCTTTTGTATCTTCCTCATTGTGAGCAACATCTAAATGCTGTATTCAAAAAAATAAAGATAAGGGTTGTCAATGATCTCCTGTTTCATTTACACTACTTAAGTCATGCATGCCTTGTTTAAATCTTGAAGAGACCCACAGGGGTTACCACAAATTGGGCATGAGATTCCCTCAATTGGAACATAATCTTCATAATTGTAAACAGGTAATGGCCGACTGGTTGACATGATGTGCTACCACTATAAGAAGTAAAATAAGAAAGACTTCGACCAATATTCAGACACACATGCGAGTTTGTCGGCGATTAAAACATTATTGTTCAAAAAGTGGTTCATGGTATATGATTGAGGTAACAACTCTTTGTTTTGTAAAGATAAATAAAAGTTTATATTGTAATAATAATAACAAGGGTTTCTTATATGTACTTGCTGTACTTTTAATTATGATCAGGTTTTCACACTTTATTTTTCGAGCTGGTACTCTTCTACATCTTCAAACAAAAGGGCTACCTTCTTAGCTAATTTGACAATGTCTCCGTCAAAATCATCTATATTTCCCTCGCCTTGTTCATTAATAATTGCTGCCTGTAGTTGGAACTCGTCGCTTGCATTAGAAATACGAAGAACAGCATCCACAATATCCTTAGACCGAACGATACATGCCATAAGCCTCTTGTCTATCATTGGCCATATTATTAGGCGTGTTCTTTCGACATCATAAACTTTATGCTCACCTCCACCAGTCATGAACTGTTCAATTGTCCATACACCAATGTGCTGAAAGGTAATCTCTTGGCGCTCATCCAAGAATACTCTCAGAAACTGGTGAAGTCCTCCAGAAGGGGACTCCCACGCACTCACAAACGGTGTATAATCTTGTACTTTCGCACTGAGGTTTCCAATAGCAGCAGCAGAGTTGCCCTGTACCTCCATGTTGGTGCTTGCTGTCAATGGTATCAGTACCTTTAATATATCCATGTGAACAAGTCTTTGCTTAAGTTCCTCGCTAAGTGCCAATACTGCAATGGCTGCAGTCATTTCGGTTTGAACACTTTCAGGTGCTTTTCCTATCAGCCGCTTGATGCTATTCACAGCCCCTGCGTCTACAATCGCTCGTTTGTTGCGTTCAGAGCTTGCAGCTAAATTACGAAGAGTGGAGATGGCATGGCACTGTATTTCCTCATTATCTTCGTAGGATAATAACTCTATCAAAGGGAGAACGAATCCACCATCAATGATAGGCGATTCATTGGCTGGATGAATGGAAATATTCCTCACACATGCAACTGAGGATAAGATCAGAGGAAGGAAGGCAGAAGTAAGGAGTCGAAGAAGATGGGGAAGACCATGACATCGAACAATCTCTAGTTGGTAAATTTCTGAGATAAAAATATAAAAAAAGGTTTTTTTTGTTAGATTGCTTTGTTAATTTAGCGGTAATTGATGAGAATTCGTGTACCATCTGATGCTAGATTTCTTAATGCAAGAGCAGCTTGGCATTGGACCTTGAGACTTTTTGTGTCCATTGATGCAATTAAATATTCTACGAGACGAGAGGATTCGGTTTTTGCTAGTCTTTGGCGATTCTCAGCTACGAGTTATATAAAAAACCTTTTTATCAAAAACTAGAACATATTTATTATTATTTTTAAACGTACCATCAACTGCAATGTTACTCAATGCAGTTGTACAATAGTACTGAACATCTGGATCAGACGAATTAAGGAGGCCTACTAAAACTGGAATGGCATTTGCATTCACCAACTGAAGTCTGTTTTCCTCTGTGGATTTATTAAAGACAAAGTTAAAATATATATTATTTCACACAGAAGTAAAAAAAAAGAGGTTTCTTACGTGTGTGGGTCATGTTTAAAAGAGCACCTGTTGCATTACGTTGAACTCTTTGATCCTTTGACCGTGCAAGGTCGACCAGAAGGCCAAGTCCTTCTGAATTAGCGATTTTTGCCTTGTTATCATCTACAATTGATGTCATTAGTACCTACCATAAATTATCTGTCTTTTCTACCTAAAAAAAGCACTACAGTTTCTTAAAAGTAGAATATGATGATATATTTACCATGAGTAGCTAGATTAGTGATGCAGCCTACAGCATTGCATTGGACTTCTACATTGGTGCTTCTCATCTGATTTATAAGTTGGTCCAGTCCACCAAGTTCGACAATGAGCAGTTTATTGTTGGCTGAACATAACTCCATCAGCTGTCTGGTGGTCGCATATGTCAACACTTACGGTCAACAGCTAAATTTCCCAAGGCTGCACTAGCTGCTCTTTGCACTTCAACATCATGCGATTGAAGCAAGGACAGGATAGGTTGAAGTGTTTCACGCCCAACTGTACGGACATCTATACTTTAAACGGTTATTATTTGATGCTTAAACCATTCATTTATAGTTGTCCTTATTAATTTTCTTAAACTATGCGAACAATATTAGTGATTTACCCTTTTCGGTGATTTCTGCAAAAGCAAGAGCGGCTGATCTTTGTAGATCGACATTAGCAGAAAATGCGAGTGTGGACAATGCATTAAGGGCTTCCCCCTCAAAGAAAGTGTTGGGATCGCGATCTAATCACAACTAAGCCAAAGGAAATTACATTACTTTAATGAGGATTTAGCTTACTCTCGAGATAGCGAAGGAGTTCAGAGATGGCAACTCGCTCATTCGCTTGTAAGATTGGTTCATATTGACCATCATGACTGCGCACTAATACGCATAAAATAAGGCGAGCATTAAATATCTATGTACGTATGTGTAGTAGATTATCTCGAGCGATCTACTCACTTCCACAGCAGTCTAAACATGAGCTACATGAATTTCCCATCGTGAAAATGGAGAGCGATTTTTATAATTTATACAGATTCAAGAGGCTATAAGTATATGAAATCAAATCGCACACACACACACACAAGCCTATTTTATTGTAAACACACAGACATATATATATATAAATCCACATAAAGGGGAATTCAATTAAACTGAAAAATTGCAGAATAAATTCAATGACGTGACTTCCAATTAAACTTAACACCAGTTTAAACAAAAAAATAGTTTTTATTAAATTGTTCAGGTACCAGTACCAGTACCATTAAGGAAATTTATCTAGATAAACTATTTCAACTTACTTGATCTGATGATGTATCTGAGTATGTGTACAAATAGCAATGCTCTTGTTTGTTTAAATAACCCTCAGTCAGTGTGAATACAAAACTCCCATGTTTTTTGTTTTCGAGTTATAAAAGATTATTTGTCATCACTGGGTAAATCACAACAAGCAAGAGCAACACCTGTTTGCACAACACAGCAGCAGAAAACATCATTTCATTAGATCAAGTAACCTTTTGCTTCGCTCACCAAAATTAAAAATATAGTCTACATATAAAGTATATACGCCAATATATCCAAACGATTCTTGAAATTTTATTAACTAGATGTTCAGAGAATATTGTTTCTCAGTACGAAAAAGATACGTGTGTATGAACACAAGAACCAGCTCGACCAAGAGCTATCCATCGAATAGAGTTGCTTATGCGACCATAGCGGAGGCAGTGGAAGACTCACTATAAAAATAAAAAAGAAAGAGGTTAAGGCAGACAGTTACCGAGCGATGCAGAAAGCATTTTGCTCTGTCATAATGTCCAATATAGAAAAATCGTTGTTTTAGTGGTCACAAAAACCAATGGCATCATCTGTAGATAAGCCAAAGTGATTCTAAACCACTTTCCCTCAGATCTCAAGCTGTTAAGTAAAAAAGGATACTATTTCCAGGTGGGAGGCAACTGGCCGGAGGTCTTGTAGTAACGTGCGAGACGGTGGATACGGGACTCAATGAGAATGAGACGGTACTTGGAGTCCATATCCTTGCGGTTGCGCTCCATGTGCTTGCGGACGGAGACAGCCTTCTTGATGAGGAAGTAAAGATCCTCAGGGATCTCAGGAGCAAGACCGTTCTTCTTGAGGATACGGAGGATCTTGTTGCCAGTGACACGGTTAACCTGGGGGATACCGTGGGAGTCACGGAGGACAACACCAATCTGGGCGGGGCAGAGACCCTTCTTGGCGCTCTTGCAGATCATGTCAACGACCTCCTCGGGGCTGGTCTTCAACCAGGAGGGAGGGGAGCGACGATAGGGGAGAGCGCTGCTAGAGATACCCTTACCAGGAGTGTGCTATAATATTGCAAACGAATATGTAAGAACATGAAGATAATTATTGTAAAAACAGTTTGACTTACGAGACGACCCATATTGACTAATTAGAGATCTCGAAGTGGAAAAAGAGGAGGATTATTAGAATCTACGAAACTCTGTTATTTTAACAGAATAAAAATTTTTGGTGCCGAACAAGAGTCACACACGCGGCACATCAATGAGTTAAGCCACTGTTGCAAGCCATACGATTAATTTTGAATAGGCGATATTTAGTTGCTTGTCACAAGGACTGTTTCAAATAGAAGCGCTTGAAGCCCAAACAGACATACTACATGTCTAAATAGTAATAATCATAGGAGTAGTTGTAGTATATATATATATATATATATATATATAATCCAATAATATTATACAGTAAAAGAAGAGAATGTTTTATTTAATGGTTTAGGGGATCTTTCTTTGGATTTTGTTCAGTTTTAAATGGTTGGTTTAACTTCACCAAGAAATATGGTTTTATCAGTACTGCAACTCATGAGAATGGGTTCCTTGGGATGCCAGTCTACATCATTAACACTACCCTTGTGACCTGGTAATTTGTAAAGAATCTTTCCAGAATCAACTTCCCAAACAACAGCAGTTCTGTCTGCAGAACCACATGCGATCTGTGTATCATTGGTTGACCAACAGGGCTTAATCAAGTTCTTTTCGAATCCATGAGGTGCGCCCTCAAACACCTTAATACAGCGATCTGCGGGTGAAAATGGTTTGACATCCCAGATGCGCACTAAAAAAAACAAAATAAGGTCAATTCAACCCACAGCTATTACTATCACAAAAAAAACAAATATTTACCTGTGTTGTCCATGGCATTTGAGAGTAAATAGGAACCGTCATGGCTCAAAGACATTCCAGAAATAGTATCAATATGACCCGAGAGAGTATAGGAAACAGCTCTCTTGCGTAGATCCCATACTTTGATTTCATTATCAAGACCACCCGAGTAAACCATATCTCCTGCATCACTGAAGCAGACACTTGTGACCTGATACTTGTCTTCAAAGGTTTGAGTGGCTTCTTTCTCTCGACTGTCCCAGAGCTTTATGCAACCATCATCGCTACCAGACACAACCATTTCAGGCCCTCTTCTCGCCACTTGACAGCTGTTAACTACCATACTGTGTCCCTTCCACCGCCGAATCCTCTCTCCCGTCTTAGCATCCCATATACCAACTGTTTTGTCAGCCGAACAACTGAACAACTGGCTACCAAATTAAAATATTAGTAAATTTAAACGTCTTCAACCTTCTTTATTTACCTTGCATCGCGAGACCAATGTACATCCATAACCGCATTGGTGTGACCCTTCAAAACGCCATAATTCTTGCTCTCTCCATATGTATTCCATAATACTATACCCCCAAATTCAATCCATAAATTTACTTTTTTTTGCAGATAGTTTATAAGAGCTAAAACTTACAGATTTGTCTGTCAAATGAAGCAGAAGCAATATGTTCACCACTAGGATCAAACTCGCATGCAAATATTTCACCCTTCAATACCAAATAGATAAATATATATAGCGTAAGTTACAATTACGCGTCTACCTACTAAATACTTGAATCACAAAACCATTTATAGATGATCAAAATTACCTGATGACCAGAAAGTTGCATTACAGGAGCATCTAGACTTGATGTACGTCTAACCTATACAAATAGATGGTAATGAGACCACAGACTTCGATTCCACGCGTATGAAGAAGGTTACTTACTGTACCAACAATAGCATGGTTTGTACCGGATCTCTCGCTCGAGAGAGTTATGAGTGAGCTGTCATTATCACTTTCTTGCTTGGACCGCTTTATCAATGAGCCTGTGTTGGGTGGATTGGGTGAATCTTTTCTCTTTTCGGTCATGGTGTGAATCGTCCTTTTTAAAAAACAGCCCTAGAAGGTTGGTTGGTTCCGTCAATGATGATGGACCGTTTGATTTGCTAGCCCGCTTTGTTTGCCCAACATTGAATTTCGCAGTCAAACACCAGTCCCCCCCTCCCTTGAGGGACTTTAGACATACACATTACACGCCTTGTTGCCTTCCCCTTTTTTTGATACTTGATCTTCCAATTTCTGTGGCTTCTGTCCCTCTATTTCATAATGCTCTTTTCTCCTATTGTTCGATCGACCCTTCAAGCACGGGCTGCATTCCACACCTCTGCATTCGCAGGTGCTGAGCGTGCTGGTGTGTTTGGCCGATTCAATCCCTGGGCCAAGAAACCCGAACCTGAAGTTGTCACCCCTACTTCTGTTGAGACCAACGAAAATCTTGTATTAGACGTTAAATACGACGATGGCGAAGAAGAAATTGTTTCGTAGGTTTATACTTAGATGCATATACATACAGTATATATTGGTGGACCGCTTCTTTATTTATTCATTTCTTTCTTTCTTTTTTTCTTATTTTCATTATTTATTGACAGGTGGAAATCGACTAATATTATCAGAGATTCCGAGGAAATTAAGTCGGTTGTGCGTGATATCGTCTTGGAAAATATCTCTGGTACACATGAAGTGAATTGGGAGAGTGCAGCTCTTGAGGATGTAGAGACAAAGTTCAAGGTAAATATATTGGGGAATTGATTTATTGCTCGTATAATTTGTAAATATTTATTCTTATTGTTTTTATTCTAGATTGTCAAGGAATCAATCAAAAAGACCGGCAAGGAAGTACCCAACATGGAGTTGAACCAGATCAAGACAGTGGGTGATTTGCTCGATTATTACAAGCGATCGGAAGAGGAAGTTATAGCAGCATCTTCTATCGAGAAGTTCTTCGAGGATAATCAGACCGAGTTGCCTATGAACATGACCTTTGAAACAAGAAAGAAGAACTTTTAGGATTTTTCTTGTTCTTTTGCCAGTGTTCAATGATAGAGTAGAAAGAGAAAGAGAATTACAAGAGTACGCATACAACCCCCCTCACCCTCACCCACATAATCCATATAATTAACCCACAACGAAAAGATAAGGATACATACGCGTCGTTCAATGGATATAAAAGAGAGAGAAAACCCCTCCCACTTCACTTGGATATACATAAAAAAGAAGTTTTTACACCATGCGTTGGCTGATGTCCTGGAGTAACCGTCGGTGCATAGGCCATACTCGATTAGGAGAGACAAGGCCAAAGTAGAGACCAAAAAGTTCTTCTCCTTTAGATCCACGTTGATAAACATAATTAAAGCGAGAAGCCTGCCGATGGGATTCTAACGATGGCTCCATTTGGTACTGGACATCGTCTTCTCTACATGCTAGACCGCAGTACATCATTTCCTTTGACTTGTTATGTCATTAATATGGGTTTAGCCAGCTGTGAATAGAGCTCGATTCTTCATGTCTTACCAACTTCCTTAATTTGCCAAGCGTGGGCCACCGCCATGGATTGTTGCACGTGAAGTTTGCCTTTCCTTGTTCGTCGCACAATGCACGCAAAGCTTCACAGTTCTTGTCAAGAGACTCTAGATCTACTAATTGGGGTGCAATCATTCGTCCATCTTGGAGATAGATGAAATGGACAAGCCCCGGATAAGATGCAATAAAAGACAAGATAGTAAAATGTGCGGCTTCCTTGATCAACAAAAATGCCATGAAGTCCTTGAGATCTTCTTGAAGAGCAGCACGGAATGCCTTAAGATTGTCTACATATGCATAGTCTGACGGTCGAGGTAATTTTATGGGAAGAGTAAGGGGCTACAATACACCTTAAGGGATCAGTGAGGCAGCTCTCTATACTTTGCAAAGATCATCCCTTTGCATCTTGTTGTACGTTAAAATTTTGGTTTACCTTATTGTCATCCTCTTTTGAAACTACTACTGCACATAATCCATCACCCACACAAGTGACAAAAATTGAACACAGTGATACATGGTCTCCGGTACTCATCCATCGCCACACAAGCATGCCTTCGACATCGGATGTCTCATTAGGTGGCGGTTTGTCTTCTTCGCCTTGTAAAAAGGTTACTAACAGACTCTTGACTGATCCCTTGGTTGATAATGGTTCGGCTAAACTATTGGCACGCGAATGTACCTTTGGTGAAGAGGGAGCGGACGATTGAGTGAGTTCATGTTTGTGCATAAAAAACTCGGTCTCTGTAGGAAAGCTACTAGAGAGTTGATGGGTCGAAATTCTTTCAGAAGATGATATCCCACGATGTTTGATAGTGGCATTACGTGGGAGATTGTTTTCGTCGCTGTTGGACCAATCGTGTCGAAAAGGTCTTCGAGACTCATCCAAGGAGAGAGAGTCCTGAGCGTGTTTAGGGAGATGAGATAGGAGATGGCTGTAGATCAATGGAGGAGGACTACTCCAGGATACCGATGGAACTGGGCTCGCAGAAGCCATCACAGTTGCAGACGATGACTTTTTGCGAATTTTAAATGGGGCTGATGTTGTGTTAGAGATATAGGCAAAAGATGAATTGTGGCTAGGTGTTTCTGATGCTGAAGACGAGGTATAGAGAGGAGGTGATGAAGCTGATTCTGTCGATGCACTACCGCCTGCTACAGATAATTTATCAAGAGAGTTCACAGGACTTCTAAATAGGTGTTAATAATATCTATTTTATTTTATTTTGATATCGGTAGTCTTTCTTACGGTGGCCTTGCGATCGGTTGAGGTAGACTTGGTGCTACACCACTTTCTGTGTTATCAGTGTCTTCTGTAGAATAGAAGAAATCATTAGATACACAAAACACAATTATAACTTATATATATTCATAGACAGATCAACCCTTTTTTCCCTTTTTCCTCCATACAACTTTACCAGGTTGACTTTCACCAAGATAATGCGCTACTAATAGCTGTAGAAACATTAGAAGATCATCTGGAGTTTTTTGGTTGCCTTGATCATGGTTGAGGCAGTGGGAAACAATTTTTTCTTTGGCAAATAAAAAAGCATGGGTCCAGTGGCGCATGTGTTCAGATGCATGGTGATCTAAAAAATGGCGGTCTCCGGTATATAGCTTTCCGTGTATAGTGCGCTTAGGAGGAGTGAAGAAGGAGGCGAGTTTTGTTGGAGGGCGTGATGGAGTACTGATAAGTGTGGAGAGACAGCTTGTCTCGAGGCAGCGGGTTAGTCTATTTCGTAGGTCTTCGTGTATCTCTACTTGCTCTACATGGCAAAGTATGTCTTTTTCACAAAGACGATGGTGAATGAGAAACGGTAAATGCGAAAGACAGCTTGCAATGTTGGCTGTTGATAGTGAAAATGAAGAGCAAGTCCGTTGGGTTCGGGATAAAGTGGGTCCCTGAAGGTGACTAAACCACTGCGGTCCGTAGTTGAATCTCAAGAAGCGATGGATAACACGCAGATGGTGATGCAGTAAGCTGACGGGTACGACCTGGTCTCTTGTCCATGCCACATAAAATACACCACTTTTCTATGTTGTGTCAGACATCGCAATCTCCTCCACCGGACTGCCTACCTCCCAGAACGCGACCGTCCTCTTTCCAGACTTGACATATTGAATGCGGTCGCGGAAGTTGGCTTTGATCAAGTCTTTGATGAGGATCAATGGTAGGAAGCGGATCTTACTACCCTCTACCGAAGCTGAGTTATTTTCAGGTGCTGATTGATAGATTAAGTCTCCAGATTTGTTCAGTATAAAGTATGAGATCATTGGAGAGCAAACACAGTTTCACTCTGGTCCTGTAAAAAGGGGAAGAAATTCCACACTTTGACGAAGCGACGTCAGGCGTCCTTTGAATGTGGCATTGCTTTGTATCTTGTAACCCCGATTCCAAAACTGGCCTACTTCCATTGTTGTTACACGCCTTGTGTGGATTCAACCGTTGTTTGTTGGTCGACGTTTATTTATTTATTTTTATTCACAATGCCAAGGTACCAAAGGATTACTTTTAAACTTACATCAATCTACTTGTCTCAAACGTAATCAAACAGCATCCGAACAAAGAATGGACGACTGGATGATGACACAGCTGAACTTAACTACCTTCAAAGTCAATTCAAACGAATGGATTCCCTCTCAGGGCAGCTGGTAACAGCAATCCTCACACGTGTTACAGAATACAATGCCCTTTTGACATTTTACTAAAACGAAAACAAAATACGAATTATTATTACGTCGAACTTAGGTTGGCATTCTCGACGGATTTGATGGTCGGCTGATGAAGCTTGAAGCTTCTATTCTTCCCATTCACAAGGCAACTCAAAGCCTCACTAGACTTGCTAAAAGTATGTGCAAGTTCATTTGATATACTATATTTTTAGGAAGGGAGCGGTAATCAATTACAGTCACTTATAATTTCTATCAGACGTCGATTCTGCTCTTAAAACGACCGAGAATATTGTCGATTGCCTTAATTTACCTAGTAAAGAAGAAGCTTATATCCTCAAAGGGTAATAATTATACGTAGCTATGCGCATATCAATAATTTTGATAACAATAATAACACCCCACAATATATATATATATATATACTGATAAAGAAATGTTGATATAGGCCTGACGAGACCAATGTATTACCCTATCTTAAGGCAATGGGTAGACTTAAAGATGCTGCCGATACTGTAGAGAAGAATCAATTGAGATCCTGTGATAAAGCCATCTATCAGATGGTAAGTAGGAGTGTATTACCCTGATCATTTTTTGGGGGGTTGGTTACAAGTTGATATTGAAACAGAGACTTACTTTTTATGTGATATAGAAACAATTGCTTAAGGCGGGTATGCTGCATCTCGAGACGTTGTTCCGAAAATGGCTGTCGTCTGTCAGCAGTCCAGTCGACATGAATACCATTCTCAATTCAAGTAAGATTTTGAGGGCTTGGGTACAAAGCCCAAACTTGTACTTTTATAGTGTTTATATCCAAATGACCTAACTTTGCCTCAAAAAGACAACGATTTGATGTCGAGTCAGGCAATGAAACAATTATCTCAGTTATCGACCTATATCGCCACCTCTGAAGCAGAAATTGGCTACACAGTAGATTTCACCAAACCTTATATTGAGATCAGATCGTCTTACCTCTTAAAGTCTCTACATCCCCTCTCCCAATCTGTTCAACTCTCGGAAAAACATCAGGGAATTTCTTATGAAAAGGGTTCAACTGAATTCCTCAGGTATCTCGAATGTTTTGCAAAGATGGTCAAGGTAATATAGTTATATATGTATTAAAGAAAATCATTCTACTAACACATTGCATGAAAAAAAATATCAGAACGAACTAGAGTTTGCAGGACGAATACTCGGTAATCCCTCGAGACGAATGGCTGCCCTGAAAGGCAGCATTAGTCCTGCAGAGAATGAATTAGTATTGACTGGTCGTCAGCTCAACATGGTGGCCAAACGACTTAATTACACAGACTCTGTGTTTATCTTTGATATAATTGAAAAATATGATAAAGATTGTGCCCCATTATTTGCAGAAATGACACAAGACATTGACCTTGGCGAAATCGCAGACATGGTGTCAGCATTCAAGTTTACAGCCCTTAAGAATTTTTATGATTTCATGGAAGACGTAAAGGGCAAGCGGGAAAACAACGCATATCTTAACCTAAGTAGCGATGGAACCGTACATGAGATGACCAGTAATGTAAGAAAATATATTGAATATATATATATATATTGTATTTTTTTTTTACTTTGATTTATTCGAACTAATGACGATTTTTTTTCTTACATATAGACTCTTAATTACCTTAAGCGACTTTATCTTTGGAGGGATACGGTGGAACCTTTACTTATTGTCATGGGAGATGGTGGTTGGAATAGCCCTCACAATTACCAATCTTTGTCTGATCAGCGGAGTCATTGTGACTCTGCTATGGGAACGGCCCTTCTTCAAAAGTTCTTTGGTAAACAACAACACTTGTATTGAAAGGAATGATGAAAGTTGATAATTAAATGCTTCTTTTGTATTATTATTACAGTCGATGCATTAGATCAAATGACAATATCTCTTCAAACGAAATCAAGAGGCTATAAGAAACCAACCTTGGCCAACATTTTCTTGTTAAACAACTACAATCATATCTTACGACAGATCAGATCTCCCCCCCTCAATGCAGTATTTGATGATGGGTCCGAAGCCAAGTTTAGCAGACTCGTAAAGAAACAGCTAGACGCTTACCAAGAGTCCTGGAAACCATGTGTAGAGAATCTAATGGATGTAACATATGTCCGTGGTGGTACGATCAAGAGCTCGATGAGCAATGGAGAGAGACAGTTGATAAAAGATAAATTTAAGGTAATACCATAATCATCATAGCTCGTATTAAACCACAGCCCGGGTGAATTAATATATGTTACTCAGAGCTTCAACACGGAATTCGATGATATCTGGCGTGTTCAAACAACATACGCTGTACCTGACACCGAACTTCGTAACCAAGTCATTAGAGATGTTAAAAATGTACTGGTTCCTATGTACTGCCGCTTCTTAGACAAGTAAGTACCCACTAAAAAGATTGTGAATTATTCTAATATTTTTTAATAGGTACCAAAGTACTGAATTTACTAAAAATCCCTCAAAGTATATTAAATACGACAAGGATAAATTGGAAAAGATGATTGGCCATCTCTTTGAGCCGACAGCTTAACAGTAGTATTTCTTTCGACGTTCAAAACACTTTTTTTGCATTAATTAAAATAAGCAAAATATTGGCTCAAAAATGTAAAGATCATTGTTAGATGTTTTATAAAGGAATTAGTCAACAGAAGGACTGTGCATTTTATTATGAGTTAATATTAAACGTTTTGATAAGACAGGTTAGTATACAGTAAATCCTCTTTGTATAAACAGTAAATGAACAAATGCAAGAAAAAATTAGAGAAATCAAAAATAATAATAATAAGAATAGTTCCTCCTTGCGACCTGCGCCGTAGGAAAATTATTATGCCCACCCACGCTCATTAATCAAGATGCGTATAGTCTTTTTAGAAGAAAAGAAGAAACAAAAGAAGGTTAATGTTCAAAGACTGCGCGTGCACTTTCGGATAATATGCTTGCACCGAATTTTTCTAGAGCAGAGGGATCCAGGACGCCTTGGTTAACAAAATAAGTCAAGAAACGCTCCAGAAGTTCCAATTGGTCTTGAGCAGACAGGTTGTTGATTACAGTAGCCAATATAGCACCCACAGACAAATTATAGGTCTAAAGCATAAATATAAGTCTAGGTTCATTATTAAACTACAGAGTTGACGGTTACCTTTATGAAGCTTTGGTAGTACATATAAGAGAAGAGACCCATTATAAACTGACAATCCATTCTGTCCGTCATACCACCGTGACCAGGAATACTCTGTCCAAAATCCTTTATATTAAAAGCACGCTTGACACCACTGGCAAAAAATCCACCAAAAGGAGCAATTAGAGAAGCGAAGCATGCCATTACAAGAGCGTGTAATTGGATTGGAGCAATCCAGAGTTCAGATATGGTTGTTTGAAACTAATTTGGATGCGATATAAGTATATCAAGCTTGGTTAACTATGGTATTGTATTTTACCACATATTTTAGAATAGAAGTCCAAGCTTCGGGCAATGGCCATGGTACAGCAGTAAATACTGGGTTCTTGGGCTCACAAGTAACATTAGACCATGCAGAGGTAGATAAATCCTAAATTTAACAAAACCCCCGGTTAGCCAAGCTATAGCCACATCGTCAGACCATTTTTATATATAGCTTACCTTGGCAGGACATATAAGGTAGTTGGATCGCATAAGAAGAGAGGCCCACTATGAAAGAACAGTTTAGTTGACATACCTATCTATATATATTCACTTACCAAAAACCCAAAAACAAGGGTGCACATCCAGGCACCCACAAATCCTTCGACTGTCTTTTTGGGACTGAGCTGAATTAACTGTGTGCGACCCCAGAAAAAACCGCATACATAGGCAAAGATGTCATTACAAATCACTAAAGATGCTGGCAATACAAGCCTAATTCATTCCATAGATAAGTAACTGACAAAACTGTTTTTGTATTATTATATTTCTACATAAGCCCATACCATATTAACCCTTCCAAGATGTTGTTAACAATAAAATGACTCTGAACTACGACAAGAATTAAAGCCATGTGTGTCCATCCGAACTGCGAGAACTGGCGTTTATAGAAGCCTTTCTTGAGATTGGTTACAAAGAAAACAAAGCCTGCGGATAGAATGTTTAATGAGAAACTCAATTAAGCTTTAAATTTTATCTTACCGATCACATAAAGCACAAAACTAATAAAACGATGGTGGGTAACAAAGGGAAGTAGTGAAGCGTCTACCAGGACAACTTGTTGGAAGTAATAAATGACTGATTCGCCATAAAGATAATATGCTGTCGATACCAGAAAATACCTTTGTGTAAGGTGTTAGATATAGTTTATCTTTTGTAATTTTGGTATTACCAGCTCATGGTCTTGAACCACCTTAAACTGCGCTCTTTGGCAGGTCCTTCTGCGATGTGAATGACTTCATTGTAAACCATGATCTGGATGGCCACTACCATTACAATCACCCAAATGTGACCTGAAGCAAGGATTGCAAAGAAGGTGCCGATCATAATAAATGTTGTGATTGTACGTAACCACCAATTCTGCCATTTCTTTTTTGCAGGTTGGGCTGCTAAGAGAATAGTTTGATCTTTTTTGACCAACAATTGTTTCTCTTCTGTTTGAGGGGAGGGGGCACGATATTGTGCAGGAGATCGTCGTTTTCCAGCCATAAGGAGATATTTGGATGGTAAAAATAAAAAATAAAAAAGAACCAAAGAAAACCCAAAGGAAAGCTTATTTTCAGCTATTATTCTTATTATTCTTATTTATTATTTGAATTACTTTTCATTTCCTTTTTTTTTCTTTTGGGGAAGTCAACTCTCAACAGCGATACACGGGTTGCACGTGAAAAAAAAGTAAACGGGAAGGTCAAAGCCCGAGAAGTGGGACTTGTATTTCTGCCTCTTTACCTGGATCATCAAACAAGTAAATATCAATATTTGTTTCTTTTAAGAAGATAATAATAATAAAAACTAAACAATTTTCAAGAATGTCCAAGATATTTACTGTGCTTATAATGAAAGGTATGTTGCTCTTTTTACTGCTTTTTAGATATTAAAGAAGAAGACAAAGGTGTAACAGTTTTTCTGTTCTCTGGTATGTTGATTGATAAGCAAGAAGATTTACATGTAAAATATTCACTTGCTTTCCTTTGTAAGCATTTTATTTGCTGGGTAATATAAAAGCCCTTGATCTTGTTGTTGTTGTCGTTGTCTGATTTGTCTTTCTTTGAAAGAAAAATATTACAATATATCCATGTCTTGAGTATCTATAGAATATTAACGCATTTGATACCAAGGTAACTTAACTTGACATTGACAAAGGGTCCATATCAATTGAGAATCCTCTCTTTTGTGTTCACCCAACAGAAATCAATTTGTGTAATACAGAATTGTTTTAAACTTTGGCCAATCTTTTGACCACAATCTGCGCTCTGCCAAAAATATAGATTGCGCAAATTACTGTGCTTTTACTTAAGTTTGAGACAAATGGGGATTTTCTTAGACGAATTAGATTTAATTTTTAGACACTTTTTAAGACAATGGGGGTACTCAGCCGGATTGATCGATCAAATTTTGAATTCAGAACGCCATATTATTGGACTATAATTGTAATAGCGACGATAAAAATTTGATCGTCTTTTTGAAAGATCAAATTTCGATCAAATTTTGATCGAAAAACGTACGGCTCTCTGATTAACCTAATCCTTACTTTTTATATGCAATACGATACTGTTTTTATCTTTCTCCTTAATAAATCATAGAATTTATTGCCAACAGTTATATAATACTTCTTTCTCTCCATCTTACATGCCAAAATATAGTACAAAGCAACAAGCAATTGATGCCTTGAAGAAATCGCATAAAATCAGGGAATTTATCGTGAAAAAAAACACTGGTAGAGTCTTTATCAGCAAGTGCAGACGAACTTATTAAAGATATTTTAGAAGTAATCAAAAAGGAAGTTAATATAAAGTTGGAGCAGATGACTGCCGCGAAGGAGCTTAAACAAACACTTAAAGCCAATAAATATATACACAAGGTTGACAATGTATTGCCAGATGTTGAGTAAAGGGAAAGAGCACTTGATTTCTTCGAGAGTCTAGATGCCTACAGGTTCAAAGAAGAAATCAGAATGTGCAAAGATTATTCTATAAATGCTATAAAAATCCATGAATTTTGTACGAATTTTGTACTTTTGTCTTTTGGTGTCCTCAACTACAAATTGATACCATTGGCCAAAATTCACACAAGAATTTGATCGATCAATCTGGCTGAGTACCCCCAATATCACCTCGCAAATTGAGACGACAAAGATGCCGAACAAAGCCAAAAGCCAAAAACATCATATACACCACATAACCCTCAGACGAACAAATAATATAATTCTCTCATTAAAGACTTTTTTTATAAACACCAGCCTATCAATAGCTCCATACAGACAAGAAATTATTCCATAGTAATGTCTAATGCTTAATGCTTAATGCTTTGGAATTTATCTGCCACTACAACAACAAAAAAGTGATTTCAAAAACGATTCTAGATAATGCTTTTTCGAAAAAGCTACTTTTTTAACCTTTTAATTTTATAGAAAATAATATATACTACTCTTTTGCGGATTTAACATTTTATCTTATATATCGTATAATTTGGAATAGAATTCTCATTTAAAATTACAAGGCATTAATTGCAATGTTCTAATATATCCTATACTTTCATACCAGATATATTGTTTTTACTATTATACAACATTGCCTGTTTTTGTACTGCCCAGATCCTAGAACTCGGATTTCAATCCTTCAACTTATTTCCTCTTCGCCGATCCTACTCCACATGCTACATGCAGATGGATACTACGGTTTTGTACCAGAATATCTTGGGAAGATCCTGGGAATTATTCATGAACAAGTTAGTTCTGTGAGGAAGAGTAATGAGCTTAAACTCCAAGTTTTTTATATTAATAGAGCGATATTATAAATTATCTTAGTATCATTTTCTGCGCTGGATGAGGATGGAGAAATAAGAAGGTGCTTTGTGTTGATTTTAAGAACATGGTGGGGCAAAAGTGGGATATTGAAAAGGTGTCTTTTTTTTTGAATTACCATGGTAAAGAAATGTGAAAAATTAAAATTGAAACATGTATAAAAAAAAAAGTTTGCAAAAATCTCCTACTAAAATTTCCCTTTCTTTTTTTTTTTTTACCATAGTGTACATAAAATGCGCAAGAAAATCTATATAGTCATATCAAAGATAGGAATAGACTACAATCAAGAGAACAATCGACAGTTGTCAATTAACACATTGATCTAAATTTTTTATGTGATAAATACATGTTTACCAGAATTAATTAAACCCCTAGTATTTATTTTGGCTGTACCCGAACATACAAATACACAAATGATATTCAAGAAATACAACAATAAAACAAATTCGACTGGGGGAGGGTCCGTGAAATACGCCTATTTTTGATAGGCTTAAAATAATCAATAATCAAAATATGCTCTATCTTACCATATTTTTTAGTCTTGTTTTTCGCCAAGCGTTTAGATGACCACTGGTCTGGGTCTTTTCATTTGTGTGTGTGTGTGTAATATGTTCCACGTCGGAGCCAATGTCTCTTTGGTAACCTAGGTTTTGAAACATCAATTGTTTTTTAAACATAATAGCAGTACATTTTCAATACCACATTTTGTTAAAGTATTTTAGCTAAAAGACAATAACCTACCTTTTGGCTTTCTATTATCAAAAACTAACTTGCTTGGATGAAAAATTGTTTAGCATTTAACTCGATCTTTCCGGTTATATGATCCAAGATCTATTTAAATTCACATATCTATTTATATATATATATATATATATATAAAAAAAGAATGTATCTGTGTAAAATAGAGCCAATCATCTGGAATAACACAATTCTTTTAACCAGGACCATATAATACAACTCATTGACATAAATAATATATTGCTGTTCTTGGGTTTTCTTAGTGCTTGGTGGATAATCTTGACACCAACAATACTGAAACCAAGCAAGTGCTTACATATTATTGTATATCTACGAGCGCAGCAAATTTCTCTTTACACATTCAAGGCCATAGGCTAATTAGCACCAAACTTGGTGTTGAAAAAAAATTATAGAGTTGATAGTTTCCGTATTTGGTGATGACAGACAAGTTTCTTTAATGAACTCATAAATGAATCAATGAACACTCCTTGATATAAAGACAAACGTGCAAATCATTGGAATGTTAAGTGAGCCTGTCTTGTTTTTATGTCTGGATAAGGCTATTTCTGGATAGATCTCCTTATTTAGGCACCCAGTACAATATGGTGTGCTTATCATTGATATAAGTTTTATATTTATGTAGATTTCCCTTGTACAACCATAGTTGAAAAGAGTAAAGAATTCAGTCGCATATACAAAGTGTTTTTTAAAATAAAATAAAAAAATAAAACAAAGGTGTGTGTGTGTGTGTTTATACAGCTAGATTATGTGTGAAATGAAATATAAAGAAAAGAAAAGAATTATGTGATGTTACGTTATGTTAATGTTATGTTAATGTTATGTTGTGTTGTGTTATGGACAGGCGGACGGGCAGTCTTGGCTCAGACTGCGTCGTGAAGTTGGTCGAGATGCATCCCAGATGACAGTTATCTCTCCATCACCAATAGTTGAATGCGTGCTTTCGGCTGTACTGTGAACAGATATAAGACTTTCTGCCCGTGTTCGTTTGTGAGGGTCGAGAGAAGATGCTGTAGGGGTTAGAAAAGTAGTAGCATTACTGCTATCATTACTGCTATCATTATTGTTGCCGCTATTACTGTCTTTGTTGCTGTCGTTGTTGCTTAAATTACTGACGTTAGACGCAGATTGAGTAGAATCATTGTTGATGGTGGTACGCACAGATCTTTTGCGAGTTATTCCACCTTCGTTACGAGAAATGGTATTAATACGGACCATTGTGGGCTTTGCACAGAAAACCTTGATTGCTGGCATTCCTTCATTTTGTTCTGGATCAACAAGTGCGTTGGAACGGATGGAGGAGGAGCGAGAAACATCTCTATTTTTTCGTACAGATACTGCTCGTTTAATTTGAACCTTGGATTCGTCGTCGAGATCTTCAAAGGGATTATCAGAAAATGTTATGGGGCGAGGGTAAGCGCTAATATTATCGTATTTTGATATCTTAACAGATGAAGAACGGTTTATAGTAGAATTATCAAGCGTGTGAGTTGGAAGGATGTTAAGTGAACGACGAATGACAGCGCTGGTAGGTTTAGGAGGTGAGGCAAATACTGGAGTGGGCGTCTCCAGGTGAGGTATTTGGAGAGGGGATGTACCAATAAGTAAGGATGGTGAAGGACTTCCACAACTATGCCCATAAGCATAATTCTGATGATTATCGTTTTGGAGGTTGACTTGGGGTGGTACCTAAAGAAAGAAGCAACAATAAAGGTGGGAAGAGAGATATAAATGTTGAGCAACAGAGTAAGTCTCCTGAATCATATAATATCGTGGCAGAATACCCGATCCTTTCATTGTACTTGCAACTGCCCCTACCTGTGTATGGCTGTTGAAAGGTAACATTGGTGGAACAGGCGACAACTCGGGGCGGAAGGAGTAGAGATCATCATCACACACCTCTCTATCGTTACTTGACTTTTGCCCTTGTTGTTGTTGCTGCTGCTGTCGCCGTCGTCGATAGAATACAAGCCCAGCCACTGTCACTGCTATCAAGGCAACAGCTACTAAACCTGTGGTTAGCCCGGCAATAAGACCCACTCTGGGGGTGCTCTCGGGTGAATCAGGAGATCGAGGAATTATCTGCGAGATGTATGAACACTGAGATACTGGGCACTTCCCACATTCTGACATGACACCTAGTACGCACGTCTGCTGTGAGCCACATCCAGGGCTACAATCAGGTCTACAGTTTATTGGACGACAATCGGCGAGGTCTCGTCGCTGGAATACCCAGTTCTCTATTTTGAGTTATGAAAAATGTCTTTATGAAAATGCAAACTCACCTTGAGAATGCACCATCACAGTACAAGAATAAGAGAAAGGAGAAGAGAAGAATAAGAAGAGAGAGAAGCAAGTCAAATCAAATCCAAAAGACCGAAACGGAAAAATTGAAGGGGATCACTCATAATCCAGAGCGGTGACGTAGGTTTCTAACCCTCTCATCTACATTCTCACCTGCCCCACTTACCCTCACTAATGGAACACAATACTATTCCGTAAGGATAACAATATTTTTTGTATAACGATCATGAACTCATGTTTATTTCAGAATTCGTCAATCAACCCTCGATTCCATTGCATTATTAGATTATATCATTCAATCGCCCGGGACATTATCTGAATTATTCGCAACCGACCGACCACTTTTTTCCCTCCAACAACAACACATAATCCACGCAACAGTTTCTCATCAGACTCAACCTACTCTAGACGAAATAAAGCGACAGACGGAACATGCATTGAATTTAGTGCATTCACTTAAACGAGACATTGCAGAAACAGAGCTTAGTCCGGTAATGATTATTATTGACATTCTTGAAAATACACTAATAAATGTATTTGTTTCAGGCGTCCCAAAATGGGGCCATAGCAACAAAAACTGCATTCACTGAACTTGAAAGGGTGACAAACAAATTGGCGGCGCAGATTGAAAAATGCACACTGCACAACCAAGAAGACGGAATGTTTGACCCATCTTCCTGCAAGTATTTGATGGATAGACAATTGAAGTCTCGTAGAGTGTATTTACGCTTTTATGTAATTTTATTAGATAATTGTAAAAAGATGAATCATAATATTCTACGAGCAGAAAAGGTAAGTTTTTTCTTTTTACTTGAAAATGATACAATAAGAAATTATAGTATATGTTGTACTGATCGTCGCAAAGCAGATCTTGCATAATCATCAAGCTGGGCTATTCGTTAATGGATTCCAGAATAAATTCGATAAAACTTACTGGGAAAAGACACTCAAAGAGTTACGAGAGTATACGGACACTATTAGCACAATTTCTGGGGCCTACTATCAATAAAATTTCACTGAAATATAAGAAATACCTTTCCAAAAACTGCTATTGGCAGAGTTTCTGATTAAAACTCAAACACTCATAAAAGTAACGGTAACAGTACTTCCCCATATAAAAAAGTCACAATGATCAGGGTCACTCACATTATATGGGCAAACTTTTATTACACGTAGACCCTTAATAAACAACTTCTTCCATAAGCCGAATGACATTTATATTCAGACTTATATTAACCCTTATATTCATTCAATCTTCATCTTTGTTCGGCCGAATATGAATATTTTGAAGCCTAAAACCAAGATTTGGCTCGAGAAAGAAGCTGTCAACTCTGCTATCGATTGCAACTTTCGACTACGTAGTCCAACCCTGTGAGCACTTAAAGTTGCTTAATTTTTTATTTTTATTTTGAACATTTGTCTTCTTTTTTTTTCACCGACGTTCTTAAAATACTTTTGGTAATCCACATATTCACTGATTTGATAAAACATAATTACATGAATATAAAAGGAATATACATATCCACTGAGTTTATACGAGTAACTGCATAAAGATAGAAGGAATTCACATACTTGGTAAGTTGATAAATAATTAGTAAACTAAATAGTAGAAATAGACAGCATATTTGGAAATTTGGTAAAGAATAATCGGATACGTCGAAGAAAAAAAATCCCCCAAAAAAAGGTTTCTTCCCAGGTGTGATCACCTTGTCACAATCCTTCCCGAAAAATAATATCGAAGAACCTTATAGGAGAGCTCTGCTCAAGGAAGTCTCGGCAAAAAAAACGTGTAGAAGGACCTATGAAAATCATGGGAGAATGGTTCTTTACTTTGATAAGAGACCGTGTAGAAGAAATTGTCAAAAAAAATTAAAGCAAAAAATAAAATAAAATAAAATAAAATAAAGTAAATGAAAAACAAGCGCCCAAATGTAAAAACTCTGCAGGTAGCAATAATAAGAAATCAGCACAACTTGCTAAGTGTGACAAAAAAGTAATGCATTTTCATATGGAGAACTGCGCTGGGCTAAAAAAAAATGAGGAATTAAAAGAAGCTCATATCTAAAAACTTCGACAAAATAGCTGAGGCTACAGTAGGTTCAATGGTAAAGGGTACAGCTAAAGAATCCTTTTATGCCACTCCACCAAAAAAAACAGTCGTATGACGAAATGAAAATGTGCAAGGTCCAAATGAACAGACTCTTCAGAGCTGATCTACACTCTAACGTGAAGACATTCGTTTGTACGAGATTACAAAATTCAATAATTACCTCAAAAGACTATATCCTTTGTTTTTTAGCACTCATATATATGCTGATCAGTGAGTTGAAGACTAGCAAATTCTTCTTCGGAAATAAGTATATTAAGATTAAAAGATTCCTGGCTTCAACCTCGTCAAATTACTGCCTTTTGTTGCAGCTATAGAGCCAGAACACACTATCCAGTCATTGGACAAGAACTTGGCTGGCTCTAGTCAGTTCGATACTGACTTCAGGTGCTTCTTCACAAGCCAGCACTTACAAGTTGTGCATAGCTATTTTCTTTTGGTACGTGGTGCTACAGAAGACAATTTAAAAGCACACGTTGTGAATAATAGCATGTCTTGATTTTTTAAAAAAGACACAGTCTTAATAAACAAAGCTTTTATCTTGAAAATGTATGCCAATAACCAATGGCTATGGATCTAAACGTAAATGATCAACTTCGAAAATATGTGGGACGGTAAAAAGACAGCCAAAATTTTTTGGGAAAAGTAGTACTAGTGTTACTTCGCCACAATATTACCCCCAATTGAGGATCAAAACGTATCTCGACCACAAAAAACACTGAAAAAACCTAGTAAGAAGGATAAAAAAACTATGCAGGTCATGTTTGTCGTCCAGAGGATAAAAGGCTGAAAAATATGATACAAAAAAAAGGAAAAGCCTAAATATCGGAAGGAGAGAAATGGAACACTATAATAAACAGAGCGAAGAGGCGTCTAGCAAATTTAAAACATGATATTAAAAAGGTAAAGCGGAAACATCCTTTAATAGTTTAAAGTCGCCAACTAATGCTCCATTTTACTACAAAATATATTTTAAACGCTGAACGGTAATTAGGAAGCCTCCGTAGAACGCAAACTTTTTGTTTAGGATTTGAACAGCGAGGAAGAGCAGCAAGATTTTTTGGAAGAAGAGGAGACTTTGGATGAAGATGTTCCAGAAATAATGTTGAGTCAGCTCATGCCCATCATAAAACTCTTGGTTTTCAACAATAATACACTTTTATATTTAGAAAATGCTAAACATAAGTCTCATAATTTCTCTATCGCCGAAAAGTTAGTATACTCTTTGATTTTCAATACTTTGAAAAAGTTCTTGGCTCAGAAAAAAAAACAATATCACATAATTGCGTATCAAATCTACTTACACATCCTCACAAACGAAGTTCTTACATATGCCCGTTATGCAAAGCTTATTCGCGTAATATACCCTCCGGCATTTGTTTTATCATCGAGTGCACTACACCTGGACTAAATTGCATTATGTAGTTATTGTCCCAGAATTTAGATCAATAAAAATCCGAAGCACCACCATCAAATAGTAATAAAAAAAAGAGATTGTATAGTAAATTGATACTCTACGGATATAATAAAGGTAGGCTAATAGGGCCCCAATAGAATGCGTGCCGAAATAAAGTCGCCACATTTAACGCAGTATTTGATATGAGTTAAATTCAGAAAGCATGTAGATCGTATGATCTATCTTTTACAAATCAGATAATATGTTTACCAAGAAGGTAAGCTGTATGATTATTGGGATCAGAAGTAAAAACTGGTGATACCGTAAAGGAGGAGGCAAAATACTTATATGGAGTACGTATTTTAATAAACTCAAGTATCATACAATAATGGCGAAGATCAAAGGATGTTCTTTTTTTTCTGAACTTCAAAGTTTAATAGAAGGAGCCAAGCCTTTTGAATCTGTCTGTAAAAGACAGTATCTTCCAAAAAATCAAGGAATGCAAATAAAAATTGGGGACAACAGATGACAAGGATCAGTTATACCAGATGGTCGAAAAACATAAAGAATCTAGGTGTAAATATTAGAGAGCTTGCTACCTGGATTTAAATACTGTATACCAAAAGTAGCAAAATTCTTATATATGTGTTTAAATTATTCATCGACTTAGAATAGGGAGACGATGGTTGTGATGAAAGAGAAAAAACAACCATAATGACCTTGTTAACATACATTTTTACGAATAATTGGCCAATACAATATCTATATTAATATTTTCTTTATATATTATGTTTTGTTTCCAAGGTTTTACTGCTATTTAAGAAGATTTAAGTTATATTTACTTGTATTTGAGCTTATTTTATTAAAATAAACATATTCAAAGAACAACCTAATATGTTTACCACTTCAATAATGCGCTTAAGAAAACATATACGTAATATTCGTCATAAGTAAGAGTTTGCAGAGGTATGGAGAACATTTTAAATTATATAGCCAAATAACAGACACAGTTTAACACACGAGTTTACCCTTTTGATAATTGTATCCCAATACTTTAGGACAGATACTCTGGACAAACAGTTGTGTAGAGGTCCGAGTACTCTTGTATTAGAGCAAGCTTATTTTTGGTAGTTTACTTTTTATATTCTTTCTTTGGCTTTAATGTTATACCATGCAACCTTCTCGCAGTTGACTACGTGTCTTTTTCATATGGAGAAGTGTAACTTTTGAAGATTAACTTCCTTTTACTAATTATGAGAGTGTTTTTGAGAGTGATGAAGATCATACTAGCTTGTATATAAGAGTGAAATAGGTGAAATGGAAGAAATTTAGCAAGAATGCGAAAGACAAATGTCCTTATTTACACTACACTCTTTGATGTGTTATGCTAATAATTGATATCATGTCAAGTATAATGAGTTTTACAAAGAACTAATTTATATTTCTGATTGACATTGTAGTACATGTTAGCCAAGGGCCTCCTTCTATATTTTATGCTATGGAATTTGAAAAATATGAGGTGAATATGTCTTCAAGAATCCAAAGGATAAGATTCGGCTTTAAAGGCTTAGATAGCCGTTAAATCTTCAGCGGATAGCTTTAAAGGGAAGTGAAACATCGGAGTTACAATGTTTTCACAAATTTGGGAATTCACTTAGCCTACGCCTACGCCGATGGTTTAACGGCTTAGATAGCAGACTGGCTATTACCTGAATAAATGACAGTTTAATGGCACACAAAGAAACTTCAAAATAATTAAACTTGATTAACATCAACAAAATCAAACTGAATATTATATGATAAAATGTATCGAAGAAAACTTTAAATGTTTGAACACATTTGATATGTTTATTTAGATTTAATGTTAAAAGTCTCGGGGACAGTAGAATATGATGATGTAAAACTAATAGCAGCATTATTTGCCACTACGTTTAATATAATGACTTGTAGAGTTATAGAGTTTACTTCTTCCCTTTGAGAAACTCAGCTTTACAATATCGAAAATTACAAGCATTAATAGTATGGTCAGATGTTTGAACAGTGCTATGCATGGTTACTTGAATCATGTATGCTTTATTTTATTCTTTAAAAATCGATTTTATGAATCGGTTTAATGAAATGCCTAAAAAGCATACAAATTGGCTTTATAATCAAAAGTACAACCACAGCTAAAACCAAGTCTTTATTGGTCAACCTTTGCGAGAGACTTTCAAATCCCAGCCCATTATATAAAAATGATATAATGCTAAAGAATTACCAAAAAAATACAATCGTCATATTAATGGTCAAAGAAACTCATAAGGAAGACTATAAATATATACAAGTAAACTATAGCTGACGACAATATAGCTGTAAAATATAACTGACAGCACTCTGACCATTATTCCTTTAAAATCAAACGAAGTGGTGCCTTGAGGCTTCTGGGCAAATTAAAGCAACGGGTAGATAGATCAGTGGATAAAAGCATGGACTATATTAATACCATTGATATTCTTATGATCAGTTAAAAAAAGTCGCTTCAAGTAAATATAACTAATATATGTATTATAGTTACTCTTACTAGCAGCATTACATATAGCTTAAGCAAACTATTGGCATATTATATTTCCCTTTTTGTCTTCTGATTGGCTATCAGTATGTAAGATATTATACAAATGGTCGGATTATGAGACCTTCGAGAAATTATGCGCATAATAATAATAATAAGACATAAAACTATGGACCCAAAAGATTGGTAAAAGTGGAAATACACTACTGTTTAGACTTTATGAGAATGGCTTATTTCTTCTTTCTTGGGTTTCGGATTTCCAGAAAAAAAAAGATAGTAAAAGATGCTATAATTATTATATATAGTACATTTTGTGTATTCACTACTATTGGACGCCAATTATTAAGTATATTGGAAATTTACAGTTGATTTTATCTTTTGTAATTTTGAATTTTGAATTGGTTTTTATAAAATTACTTATGGCTTAAATTTATTAAGTTTTATAAGTATATCTTTTTCATAAATTAAATATTGCTTATTCCGTATTCTTCCCAGTACATTAGCAAAGGCTTCATTGACACTGCAATTATAAATCAAATACGTCTTATTTGTAAATCCCCTCCATAATAAAGACCGAATACAATAAGAAAATTGAACAGTACCGGGACAACCAAAATGACTTGAATCGGATTGTTAATCATGTAAAGGTCACATATAACAGGCTCAAAAAGTATGGTATTTCTTCTCAGTATTGGTCACATAGACAAACTTTTAATTATAAAAAGGTTAATATTAGATATCCTTAGTGGCGTTTAAACAATAATCGGTATATAAGACTGTTTTAATGCCACGGGAAACCTTGGGACTGTAAATAAAAGTAGGATGGTTAATCGTATGCTCGATTACCAATTGAATCGCAATATAAGAAAGCAAAAAAAACCAATATTAATACGTATAACCTTAAATTTAGAGTAATATATATTAAAAATGATGTTAAAATGACAAGCATATACCATGCGATCTGAAACGTGTCGAAAAGACCTTAAAGATCAGATAAGAAAATCTTCTCTTAAAAGCCGGGCAGAAACAGCAAAGAAGGCTATTCAAGTATAGGATACTCCAATGAAAATTATTGATTCATGAGAATAGAAGATGAGATAATATTCTTTAAACATACGTTTTCACATACAAAGTATTTGTCAAGCCTCTACTTACTATAGGAAAATCGAATACAGCAGATTTTAATTCATATCCAACCTAATTACAAATAGAAGCATTCAGTTGCCAATATAAGAATTCTATATAACGTCTGCAATTGGTCAATAAATATACTCAAAGGCTCTCAAATAAAATTATTTTAGGTTTCAGAAACACGTTAAAAAACCCCACTTAACGAGGTCTTTTAAATATATGGTCAATGTACATACAACGACCGTTGAAAATCAAACTGATAATAGGCATTTTACCGCAATATATAAGAAAATAAGTAAATGCTTTGAAGTCTGCTACCAAAACATGACAAGTTTATAGCAAAAAAATTGTTTTCTGTGTCTTCTTAGTACTTAGCAATAAAGATCAGATATTGGAAGGCTACTTTTTTGGAATGTTATAATATTCCTCGGGCAGTATTGATTTAGATCCACATAAATCAATCAGAATAGTGTTTAAGTTTTTGTTGTTGTTGTTTTTTTTAAAAAAAAAGTAGTTATTTTGAAAGCCGTATATATGTATATATGTATATATGTATATAACAGGATCAGCTCCTACTTCTCTGGGTACAGTATAACATAACAGTTGATAGATAGGGGAATTATAGCTTTATTATATATATAAAGGCGCGGGTTAGAGAGTATATATCACATCTTCTGTATTAACTCTGTGAGCTTTTCTATGTTGCTTATTGGTTTTGAAGCTGAAAGTTTAATAATGCTTTCAGAAAATTTAAAAAAAAATGGTTTGGCAATGCAACCCAATCTGAGACCCGTTTTGATTGTATAATTCTGTCATTGCGGGCAAAGTTATAACCGAATATCTGGTCAGACTTACCTAATATGGAACCTCACGAGGGGGGTCTATTGGGTAATCTATTGGCCAGCGCAATACAAATACAAAATGATATAAAAGAGTGGTTGGCTCAATGTTTGCCTTTCTTCTATTTTTGCTTATTTCTATTGCGCACGGTCCACAATCTCTACCACAATGAAATTCGCTAAGCAGATAGAAACGGCTGCCTCTGATCTTCCGGCTCACTGGCGCCCGTACCTTATTCACTATAAATGTCTCAAAAAACATATCCACTTAATCGTAGACGAGCTTCATTCACAAGGGCTTTTTGACAAGCTACTTGCTAAAAAACAAGGAATCTGCTCTGGTCAATTAAGTCTCACTTATGCCTTCAAAGGTAAGTTCTTTGGTTTGGAGCATTGATTGTTTTTTCCTTGCGCTCATCAATTTATTTGTCTGTTTTATTTATTACCGTAGGAAGCGCGAATGCCCCAGATCCCTGTATTCATGTCACCATCCCAGATCCATATTCTGTCGACCAAGAAAATCTTCCTGTTAATGTACAGCCGGCATTAAAAAAACTGTTTATATCTGCTTCCGCTGTCTCCAATGAACCTTTACTTCTTAAAATTCAATTAGAGCGGGATTCAGATTTTTTTCGTTTTCTGTTGGATGAATTAGCCCGAGCTACCGCCCTACACGATGTAGAACAAAAGAAATTCAGTGAGACAGTCCAAAGTCTTGGAGATGAGCTGTGTCAGATGGTAAGCTATTGGTGCTTTATTATGTAATCATTATGTAGACCCTGACAGAAACTCATATATGCATTACATTTAGACTGCCACCAATAAGAACGATATGTACACTTGGCGCGAGATCTTCAAATTGTATATCGAGGCCGCAATCTTTCAAGATATTGACATGACTAAAGATCCGGCTAAAGAAAGCAGAAAACGACTGGAGAAGTTTAAAGATAACCTCTTGGACAGACTATTGGTACTTTATATTGATCCATAATTACTGATTTTTGGAAAAAGAAAACTCGTGTGCTCATACTAAAAATATAACTTACTAGGAAAGCAACTTTGTACTCAAGGAATCCAAGAGTATTCTCAAACACTTTCTAGTTATCAATTATAAGCTTATAGACTTTCAACATTTCCAAAATCTTAACCGAATGGCTATCACCAAAATTCTCAAAAAACATGATAAGAAAAGCGGGCTTAGGTAAAATATTCAACATGCTTTAATTTTTCCACGAAATATGAATTAAGTGGTGTGATGGGATTTTATTAGTGCGACTGAAGAATTTTCTGCCTTTATAAAGGGAAATGTGGTATTTGTGGATGGAATATTACTCTCTCTTTGCCAAGCCGTTCAAACAAAGTTGATTACTATTGTCCCTCAACCGGATGAATTTACTTGTCCTGTGTGCTTTTGTAAGAAAATAATATCTACTACTTGATATCAAGAATACTCATCTTTATTCTTGCTTATTTTATTAGATCTAGCATGGAAACCTGTTCGCCTAAAATGTACTCATTTATTCTGTGCGCGATGCTTAATCAAAGCGAAAAAAAATAATATCACAAACTGCTTTATATGTCGAAGTGAGAATGCAATACCTGAAGCAACCGCCGGAAATCTTGACACAACACTTTCCAAATTTATGAAGCTTAATTTCCCTCAAGAAATCGAAGAGAAAGAGCGCGATAACGCGGCTGAGCGGGCTGAAATGCAGCCAGTCAGCCCAGAGGAACATTTTCAAAGAATGTATTCACGACTACCTTATCGCGCACAAAATGTTCGGATATCAAACACTCGGGTACCAAACACTCGGGTATCAAACACTCGGGTATCAAACACTCGGGTATCAAACACTCGGGTATCAAACACTCAGACCCGGCACTCACGTCGATCTCGACATCAAACCAGCTGTATAATAACTTAATCCCAGCTTTAAAATATTCTACAAATATAATAATCCCATATGTACTTATAATATATACGACTTAATAATTCAATAAATGCATTATCTACATCCAATTGTGTTAATAGATAAAGTAAAGTAGTGTCGGAGTAGCAAGCGTGACTACATTGCAGTTGGTTCGGGCAGTGTAGGCCTAAAACCTATCATAGGCCAGGCAGACCGGTGATTCCTTCTCTGCAATCACTATGGGTAACACATCCACACACTTACCCTACCAATCCATCCGTCCATCCATCCCTAACAACAGCTCAATTTTCATGCAGGTATCAGCCGTGATTCTCGCCACAAGCGCAGCGCCACAGGTGCCAAGCGTGACCAATACAGAAAGAAGAGAAAGTAAGCGGATCGACAATGACGAGAAAGAGGACAAATGAGATGTACATTTGAATAATTAGCTCAACCAACAATTAACTAGGTTTGAGTTGGGTCGCCCCCCAGCCATGACCAAGCTCGGTGGTAGACGCATTCACGTCGTTCGCGTTCGTGGTGGCAACGTCAAGCACAGAGCTCTTCGTCTTGAGTCTGGCAACTTCTCTTGGGGTTCCGAGGGTATTGCCCGCAAGACTCGTGTTTTGACTGTGGTATACAACGCCTCCAACAACGAATTGGTCCGCACAAACACCCTTGTCAAGGGCGCTGTTGTCCAAATCGATGCCACTCCTTTCCGCCAGTGGCATGAGGCACATTATGCTTCCTCCCTTGGTAAGAAGAAGGCCACCACTGAGGAGGTTGCTGTTGAGAAGAAGTCCAACAGTGTTCAGAAGAAGATTGCCGCTCGCCAGGCCGATGCTGCTGTCGATCCTCTTCTTGATGATCAGTTCACCGCTGGTCGTTTGTACGCTGTCATTGCTTCCCGTCCTGGTCAGTCCGGTCGTTGTGATGGTTACATTCTTGAGGGCAAGGAACTTGAATTCTACGTTAAGAAGATCAAGGTAATTATTGTGTAACTATATCTATTTTGCATTATATTTAATCCTTTTTTTATCTATTTTTTTAGTCCAAGAAGCAGCATTAAGGAACTTGGCTAAGCTACTAAAATACACACACTTGTGTATCTTGCGCATTATAGCTGGCTTTAAAAATAAATAAATGTTGTTTAAGCAAGAGCTACCCTTAAGTCAATGATATGCAAGCTGGAGTAATAGCAAAAGAAATAGAGAGAGTTTGGAGGCCATACTCTCCTGACACAACAAAAGTCTTATATTCTTTTTGTTTGAAAGGCGGTGTGCCAATGAGTCGTAAAGAGGAAGAAGGGAAGAGGCCCGAGTCGGACCTTGGACTGACGGCATCAGGACGACTTTAGAGTGCGACTTTCATATGACTTGTCCCCCCTCTTCTGCTTCCATATCATCAACAATGGTACTCTATCTCAACACCACAAACCACTGAGCTATATTAGATACAATCGAGAGACGCAGATGGATTGGATGGATGGATCTCGATTGTATTCAAATCAGACGCTCAAAGTAGTTGTTTCTAACCCTCCATTCTCTAGAGCGCCGAACAAAAGACAGTTGCCGTTAACAAGATGAAGGCTCTTCATATTGAGAAGCTCGTCCTCAACATTTGTGTTGGTGAATCTGGTGATAGACTCACCCGTGCTGCCAAGGTTCTTGAACAGTTAACTGGTCAGACTCCTGTCTACTCCAAGGCCCGTTACACTGTCCGTACCTTTGGTATCCGTCGTAACGAGAAGATCTCCGTTCACGTCACCGTTCGTGGCCCCAAGGCTGAGGAGATCCTTGAGCGTGGTCTCAAGGTTAAGGAGTATGAGCTCCGTGCTCGTAACTTCTCTGAGACCGGTAACTTCGGTTTCGGTATTGATGAGCACATTGACTTGGGCATCAAATACGATCCTTCAATTGGTATCTACGGTATGGATTACTACATTGTCATGGGCCGTCCCGGTAACCGTGTCGCTCGTCGCAAGCACTGCAAGTCCAAGGTTGGTGCCACCCACCGCATCAAGAAGGAGGAGTCTGTCGAGTGGTTTAAGACCCGCGTAAGTTAAAATATTCTTATAGCTACATTAACGTATTTTCTGACAATTTAAATTTAAACTTTTTTATATAGTTCGATGGTGTTGTCAGCAACAAATAAACTTTTTAGTCTTAGTTGTCGACTTGGCATTGTTCTCTACCGTACATGTTGAACTCATTCGTGTTATGGACTTAAATAAAGGAATGCAATATTGAATTCTTGCTCTCTCATTCTACACTATTAATATCGTTTATTATGTGGATCAAAAATGAAAGAATGCATGTTTTGTGGATGTGAACATTTGGGATGGAATCTGGAGAAATGGCGACAATTTGCATAATTTTTGTTAAATTTGACGGTAGTGATGAAGTCATATATTCTTATTGACTAGGAGCAGTGGCTGTTTTCCATAGTTGCCTATCCAGTGGACATTGCGGATTACCAGTAGCTTTTTCCAACCATTTCATAATGCAATGCATGTGGAAAGCATGCGAACATTCACCCCAGAGAACCGGGCAATCGTCACCTGGCATGTTGCATTCCGGGCAGCATCCTTCGAACTCCACTTGACATATACCACAAACATCTGAATTTGTATCATTCCATGACCAATATGCAGCCATTGTCCATGACTTAACCTTAACCTTCATTATTTTAGCTTGGCCTCAAACAACCAAACATGTCTTTTCCACAGTCAAAACCTATATTTTAATGTGACGGTTGATTTGCTGTCAGAGTATAAAGGCAAATATCTAATCACATGATCAAATGAAGAAGTATTTCCTCATAAAAAGGAAAACGATAGGCAGCTATCAATATGAAGTAAATGGATAAACCAATTTTATTTGCGCACGAACGATAAAAGTATCTATATATATATACTTTGTAATTTATTTACTCTCCTTGATAACCTTAATTCATAACTTCCTTTTGATATTGTCCAATCTGTCTAACAATCCCTGGACAGTGTTCACGTTATCTTTGCGCTCCTGGCGAATAGCCTGGCTGAGAGACTCACACAAAAGCGTATCCAACTGCATCAATATCTGCATCAATTCCTCTCCAAGTCCTCTACCATGATACAGTAGACGTTCTGTCTTTTTTACGTCTCTCTCGGCTTTCACCAGATAGCCTTCCACTGTCAATTGATAGTCTTCAAGGGCTGCAAGAGCACGCCCAATCTTGGGACGAATGCTTTGAAGCTTAATTAGCACCTCTTGTTCATGACTTTCTTTCTTATTCTATGAGAAATAGAGTATATAAGTATATATGGACTACATAGTGCTTCCTTCTGAATCTTTAGAATGTACCCCTGTTCTCTACCTTTTGCAATGATCCCATCATCATAACCTTGGCTCTATCTCTGATGTTATAATCGGCCAAAGTCATTTCATCATTACGCATCACAGCTAAAAAAAAGCATGTGATCCCGGTTGGTTGGTGCCATTGACAAGATATGTACCTGAAAAACAGTGCTTCTCTCACCTCCATTGGCCAATAGTTTGATGAAATCTGATTTTACTTCTGTTACTTTCTGACATTTAGCTTTCAGCTCTCGTACTGTTGTTTTTTCGAGCTCGTTTTCGTCTTCAAATTGAAAAGTAAAGCGTTTGGAGGACCATTTCAATTCAATTGTCAATGGTGCCATTGTTACTGTCAAGGAAGTTAAATTTTCAGACCTTTGTCATTGCCTTGAAAATCGACGTCATTAAATAACTTTATACTGTCTTATGTACAGCCATGTACTTTTCATTTTAAATATATTTTTGTTTACAATTGCATAGGATATTCTCATAAAACATATTATAAATTGTTTTTCTAATATTATATATATAATATTAGAAGTTTTGCTTTCTCTTTCCTGTGAAGGTTTTATTCTGCAGGTAGTTAATATATATAAATAATATATAGGTGAGTCTTTATATGGACTGTTTTAAGAAGAAAAATCATGTCTGTAAAGAAAGAAAACTTTGTTCATCTAAGTTTATTTAAATATTTTATTCTTATGAAGTAAAAAGTTTTGATACTAAAATGAAAATAAAATAATTATTAAAAAAAATAAAAACTTTAGTTCAAATAAAGTCGCAGTAATGTCATCATTGTTATTGAGTGAGTTTTTTGTTAGCCTTTGTATACTCATCTTCTTGCAGAAGTTTATTATACATTTTTCTATACTATGTATTAGAAGAGTCTGCCAATTTAACAATTTAATATAGTTTTATTAGTATATTTATACTTTCAGAATATATATATTCTATCTTTGGCTGTAATTTCTAATCTGTTTTTTTTTAACTATAAAATTATACTATTATTACTTTTCCCTCTATATTCTACACTTCTTTAATATTATTATAAATTATACTCTAAAAAAGTATTTATAGTAAAGATATTGTATTATTAAATAAAAGTTAGGTTTTTATAAAATATACTTTGTCTTAATAAAATATAGTATATATTATATTATTTTGATTTATTTTTTATAATAAATATAAATGAAAAAAAACCAAGCATTTACTTAGATTATTTAAAGTATATACCAAGAGATTGTGTAATTTTATCTTTTAGTGTGAATGAAAAAAAAGAGTGAAGAAGAATAACTTAAATATTATGAAATATAGATATTTTTTTTCAGTAATTTGATTTTAATAGATAATGTGGTGATCCAGACTGTTGTAAATGAGTATTAACTACTACTGTAATTGAGAATAAGTCTGAAGAAAATAATATAAGGCCTCATGTGGTATTTCAGGTACGAAACAATAGAAAAATAATAAATTTGATAATAGAGATATATAGAAATACTTTGAGACTGTATATAAGTTGTCCTTTATTCATAAATAAAAAGTGTTTCTTTTTATAAGAAAACACAATCTGCTTTTGTTATTACGGCTTAGTTTCTTAAGACTTTCTTCCTTTACTATATTTGGTTATTAGAGTGTATTTACTACTTAACTAGTGTTGGTGTTACAATTATGACATCAAGTCATAAATTGTACTTCTTTAGCTCTTAGCTATTCTTTTCTCTTTTATACTAGAGCTTTAGGACTTCCTACTAAATTAGCTCCATATTGATCTGACACAGTTTATCCGGCAGTATAATATAATTATCTTAACAATCTTTAAGATATTATGTATAGTACTAACTGTAATAATTTTTGGGCTGATTACTTAATTGTTTATATATATTTTATACTGACAAGATGATAGCTACTACGCTATCCCAATATGAATATGTTCTTATATGTAACAAATCCAACATCCGAGTGTCTGGATCACCACACCTTGGCTATTTCAGTCAAAGGTGTCTACCGATTACTTTATTATTTAACACACAGGTTTAGCATGTATGATAGTGATTATATTTCATATGATGATATCACCATAATATGAGATACATCAGTGGATTATTATAAGCATAATTATAACTCATAAATACATTTACTTTCGATATTAATACTTCATTGGGACTATATACATTTATATAATTAATCATACTGTTGTGGTGGTTGAAGTTGAAGAAGTTTTTAAGAGGAAGAATTGAAGATTTGAGATTAGGAACGAAGATTTGTGAGAACTTGTGTAGGTTTTGTTTATTGAGAAAGGATTTTGTATCAAAGTTTGACCAGGTTCCTACACTGAACTACTACTGCTATTTATATTATTTTGAATCAGGAAAATTATATGACTGGGATCAGGTAATCGATCCTATCTGAGCCTTAATCAGAGCAACGTGATCTTGGGATAATTAATGTATGATTAATTATATAAATGTGTGTAGTCCCAATGAAGTATTAACATCGAAAGTAAATGTATTTATGAGTTATAATTATGCTTATAATAATCCACTGATGTATCCCATATTATGGTGATATCATCATATGAAATATAATCACTATTGTTGTGAATGAGTATTGATTACTGCTGAATCTGAGAGTAAGACTGAAGGATAAAATAATATCCTCAGCTATTCCAGTCAAATGGATCTCCCTTTATGATATTATCTAATACACAGATCATCATACACATAATTGATTATTTATTATTATCACCATGACATGGGATATACAAATACATATACATTATATATATGGCATCATTATATTTCATTTATATATTTCTTTTATTATACAAATACTTAATTGAGAGACTACAACTACAACTATCTAATATTATGAAACATTACCCGAGTATCTGGGTCGGAATACCAAAATATTACCAATAGCATAAATGCTCTTCTTTACCAAAACTCTTGGACTGATCTGAATGGAGAAGTATCATATCAATTAGTCTTTCCGGATCTTTCCAGAAGAACAATACTCCTGGAAGATGACTCATCGTGATAAAAATTACTTAAGCACACACTGAATTACAAATTAGAAAAACATATAAATATCAGTAGATAGTTCCGTGTAGAAAGACAATGAGATTTTATCATTCTTTACTTTTCTTTTGAAATAAACAACCTACACAAGTTCTCATGAATTCTTTCGTCTATATTATATTTTGCTTTATTTTCTTCCCACAACAACTATCATGCATGCTAAACCTGTGTGTTAAATAATAAAGTAATTGGTAGAAACCTTTGACTGGAATAGCTGAGGTCTTATATTATTTCCTTCAGACTTATTCTCAATTACAGCAGTAGTCAATACTTATTTACAACAGAATCGATTATCTGACCCCAGTCATATAATTTTCCCAATCCAAAATAATATAAATAGCAGTAGTAGTTCAGTGTAGGGACCTGGTCAAACTTTAATACAAAATCTTTTCTCAATAAACAAAACCTATACAAGTTCTCACGAATCTTCATTCCTAATCTCAAATCTTCAATTCTTCTTCTTAAAAACTTCTTCAAAATTCAACCACTACAACAGATATCATAAATCATACTTCTTTAGCTCTTAGTTATTCTTTTCTCTTTTACACTAAAGCTTTAGGACTTCCTACTAAATTATCTCAATATTGCTCTGCCACAGTTTATTCAGCAGTATGATATAATTATCTTGATGATCTTTAAAATATTATCTGCAGTATTAATTATAATAATTATTATTCTGATTACTTAAATGTTTATATATATATATATATTCTGACAAGATGATAGTCACTAAGCTATCCCAATATGAATATGTTCTTATATGTGATAAATTTAGCAGCCAAGTGTCTGAATCATCACATATTATATTTACTATTAATTTTTTTATTACTTTATATCTGAAATACCACAAATTACATACAAAAATCTAAGCTTATATTACGGTACATTAAATATGCTTTATTTTTATCTGTCCACGTAGTAGTGGTTTGGCCGAGTGGTCTAAGGCGGCAGGTTTAGGCCCTGTTCTCTTCGGGGACGCGAGTTCGAATCTCGCAGCCACTATTTTTAGAATTTCCGCTTAATATTTAAGCGGCGATGTATTTGTCGTTCCCGATCTGGGTTGGTCTTCCTTTTACTATAACAAAGTCAAAAGGTCAAACCCACTGGGGATCAAGTAGTATACGTAAAATCAAAGAGAGGATAAAACATACTTTTTATTGATAGGAATTGAATTGTCTTATATAGTTTTCTAAGCTAATACTGCGCATAAAGAAGTACTGCGGTTAACTATCTTCAGATTTTACGGATTTATCAAAATAATGTCCGACATATTCGGATATTGTTTTGACATACCTGTAAGTTGTCAGGTTTGATCTGGTATTTCTTTTTTGGCACTTGTAACTAAGTTTCAAAGCAATGCCACTAGGGATTATCAATTTTAAAGAATGATTCTTAGATATAAATAATACCCTCACAATATTAATTCTTTAAATAGTGTAATATTAACTCATAAACAATTAAGAATGCATCAGAGACAAACCTATTTTCTAGGCAAGTCTAAATTTTTTATATGACTAAAAAAAGTAAAAATTATTGTATTTTTATACTAAGTTACTATAATCTAACTTCATAGTAAAGATATTGGTTCTGATACCCTTCTGCAGCTCTTGCTCCACATATAGTAGATACTGGTGAATAAGTTATTATCAATGGTTCTCGAAGTTAAATTAAAACAATTTAGTATATAAAGTATAATTGTCTTTATATTAACTTGGCCGTCAAAAAAAATCACTGACTTCTCAATTGTTAATATGATTTTTTATATAAAAGTTTAAACTTGCCTATTTTTTCTTTTAAGAATTGTCTAAAGGATAAATCTAACTCATCTAAAAAATCCTAATGTGGCCCAATCTTAAGTAAAAGCACTATATCTAAAGGAAAGCTAATTCTGATCAGGAACGGCATTGCCGTGCCTGATTTGAGTTAGTGTTAAGTCTCTACTGGGTATATAGTTCTATTACTTTGACGAAAAGCTTTGTAATAAATTGAAATATAGAAAAAATATGTACTTTTATTAGTTAATTTATTTTATTACATGAAAATGTAATCTTATATTTTACCAGCTATTAAAGTATTAGAGAAATCAAGGGTTTTCTCAAGCTATTATTGCGCATATATATTTGGCAATATCAAAGTGTTTGACAGATGTTGTTTTAAAAAGATAAATATCTCAAGTAACCCGAAAAAGTAGGTAGATTATTACATATTGTTTGAGGTATACAAATAAATTTAGAAAGGGAACAATAGGTACTGTGAGAGTGTTGTTT